GCTACAGGTAGAAATCATTAATAAAAAATAATCTTCACTCTAAAAATGAGCGAGTTGATAATAAATTTACAGTTGTGGACAAAATTGTTGGTACCCCTCTGGCAATGAAAGAAAAATCAAAAATCAACAATCATCACTGAAATAACTTGAAACTGATCAAGGCAATAATAAATAAAAAAAATACTGAGAATTGCCCAATGAAAATCAAACATTGTTTTTCACTTGTGGTTAAACAGATTTATTAGAAAAAACAAAATAATGAAACTGGCTTGGACAAAAATGATAGTATCCTTAACTTACTTTTTTATTGTCAATTAGACTTCTGCAATGATCAACAGGTATTTTGACCCACTCCACGTCAGCAAACTGCTCTAGTTGCCTTAGGTTTGAAGAGTGCCTTCTCCAGACAGCATGTTTCAGCTCCTTTCACAGATGTTCAGTAGGATTGAGATCTGGGCTCACAGAAGACCACTTGAGAACAGTCCAGTGTTTTGTTCTTAGCCTGTTCTTGTGTGTTTTTAGCTGTGATTATCATGTTGGAAGTCCCATGACCTATGACTGAGACCAAGCTTTCTGACACTAGGCAACACATTTCATTCCAAAATACATAGATGGTTTTCAGATTTCATTGTACCTTGCACAGATTCAAGACACCCTGTGCCAGATGCAGCTAAACAGCCCCAGAACCTAACAAAGCCTCCTCCATGCTTCACAGTAGGGACAGTGTTCTTTTCTTGGTCTGCTTCATTTTTGCATCTGTGAACATAGAGCTGATGTGTCTTGCCAAAGAGCTCCAGTTTTGTCTCATCTGTTCAAAGGACATTTTCCCAGAAGCTTTGTGTCTTGTTAATATGCATTGTGACAAATTCCAGTCTCACTTTTTTATGATTTGGTCTCAGCAGTGGTGTCCTCACATGAAGCCCACTTTGGCTCAAACAGTGACAGATGGTGCAGTCTGACACTGATGTACCTTGCCCTTCAAGTTCACATTTAATTTGTTTGGAGGTTGTTCTGAGCTCTTGGGTTACCATTTGTATGATCCATCTCTTTAATTTGTCATCAATTTTCTTCTTGCGGCCATGTCCAGGGAGGTTGGCTACAGTCCTGTGGACCTTAAACTTCTGAATAGCATGTGCAACTGTAATCACAGGAACATCAAACTGCTTGCAGATGGTCTTATTGTCTTTATCTTTAACCTTCTTGTCTATCATTTTCTTTCTAGTCTCCTGACACAGTTCTCTTCTTCACTTTCTCTGGTCCATCTTCAGTGTTGTATCCATCATGTCTTCAAACAGCACAATGACAACATGTCACCCTTTAAACAGGCAGACTGACTGAGGACAAGTTTGAAGACACCTGTGATGCAAATTAGAGGACACACCAAAGTTTAACATGTCCCTATTGTCCAATTACTCACAATCTTTTCTAGGGGTACCATCATTTTTGTCCAAGCCAGTTTTTTTTTTTTTATAATTCTGTTGAAAAACAATTCAAAAACAGTGTGTGATTTTCATTGGCTATATTTCAGGATTTTTTTAATTTATTATTGCTTTTCTCCATTTCAAGTTATTTCAGTGAAAATTGTTGATTTTTCTTTCATTACGAGAGGGGTATCAACAATTTTGTCCATGTCTGTATATAACCATAGGTGGCATACATTAGCATTGCACTGTTTTAAACCTGCCAAGCTATACAGTACTTTTATTTTTTTCTCCATAGGTACTTCACTCATAGGCACACATGGGAGGATGCAGAAAAAGACTGCAGAGAACACAGTGCTCACCTCACCAGCATCATATCTGCCACCGAGCAAGAGTTCATCAATGGTATGTTTCAGGACCTGTTTGGACAAATGGCAATGCAGTAGAAAGAAATGTGCAGAGAAATACAGAAATAGTTCACACTGAAACTATTCCTATGTTAAAATGTCCATAGTATGCTTTTTTTTTTTTTTTTTGAGCTAGATATGTTTTTGAGGAGGGAACAACATTATAACATGACTTAAAGCTCACAAGAGTCAATTTGGTGAAATTTAGGACCTTTAAGATATTAGTCAAACAAATTGTTAAATAGTGCTATTTGGTGATACTCAAATCAATTGCTAACAATTAGATTGAAGATCTGCAATCTATATATTCTATACAGAGCATTATGGGGCTCAACTATTTATTTTACATTTTGTCAGGTCTGGGCCATGACAATGCCTGGATTGGTCTAAATGATCGCACTGTTGAAGAAGATTTCCAGTGGACTGATACTAATGATTTGGTAAAAATTTGCTTAATTCTTACATAATGACATATTCCATGCACATTTAGCCACCTGTGTCTTTATTTCCTATGTAGGTGTATGAGAACTGGAGGGAGAGCCAGCCAGACAATTTCTTTGCAGGAGGGGAGGACTGTGTGGTGACCATTGCCCATGAGGACGGCAAGTGGAACGATGTACCCTGCAACTATAACCTGCCCTACATCTGCAAAAAAGGCACAGGTACAAACTAATTGTAAATTAGTAAATTGTAAATTGTGTCTGGGATTGTAACATTCTGCGCTGGACAAACATAAAGGCAGGACAGCAGGTTGGTGCTCAAAAGTAAACTTTGAATAATTTAAAGTAACTCAAGAAACAAACAAAAATGAACTGGTGCAGCCTCAGTCCAAGCTAACCTTTCCAGTTTCTCCTATAGGCAGGAGTTTGAATTTGGAGCTCCACTTTTCTCAGAGGCACCAACAGCCACCATGCACTGTACTTTAACACCAATACCACCATAAACAGAAACCACCATAGCATGTTTTGGCTGGCCAAATGACCCAGTTTTGTTGGATTATAGTATATTTTTACTTTGTATATTGGGAGCAAAGCTACAGTTCATTCATATTTTGTACAATGCTGCCATCTGCAGGCATCTTCTCAAATATCTGAACTGTGCTTTCAATTGTTTTGTTTTGTAGTTTTATGTGGGACCCCGCCTGCCGTTGAGCATGCACACTTAGTTGGCCGGAGAAAATCACACTATGACATTCACGCTGTGGTGCGTTACCAATGCGCCGAAGGCTTCTACCAACGCCACATCCCCACCGCTCGCTGTAGGGCTGATGGCACCTGGGAAAGGCCCAGAATTATCTGTGCAAAATGTGAGGAACCTCACTCAATTAGTATTATTTTTGTCTTTCTTCTTCTTTCTTAATTTTTTTGCTCCTTCCCTCTCATTTCTTTTTTTTCTCTTTTATTACTTACCTACTCATACACACACATGCACGCACGCACATACTCACACACACACACGCACACACACACTTACACTCCTATATAAGAAGAACAGAAGCCATTGTTATCGTCTTTTCACCCTCTTGAAACCTTAATGCATGCACTCCCTGTTCCCCCAGGTCAAAATGTTGTTTGTATTGTCACAATTGTTTATTGTAATATCACAATAAAAAATGGCATAGCTAAGAAACACGACCTTAAATGGGGTAGTTCCTGAACATCTACACAAAGACATACAGAGACAGACTGTCATTCTCTCAGAAGGTTTACATTGTTAATTTTAGTGCTAATTTTAGAGTCAGTTTTATTCTGTATCCCTACTACCTAAAAGGGATACATTTTGTTCTTAGTACTGATTTTCTCTTCCATCTCTTCAGCTCGACGATCACACCGATACAGACGTCACCATCATAACCAGCGCCATGATCACCACGGCCACAGGAGACATGGAGAGGGACACCGCGCTCGGGACGATGAACGCAGCTACTACTGAACCAAATAATACTTTGCTTGGTGCTATAAACAGCCCACACTCAGCAACCATCCACTACATTGTCATTAAGTTCCTGCATTTAACAGAGCTTCTCATCCTTTCATCACAAACTTCTAGAAGTCACTGATTTTAGATTTCTTTCAACTCGTTATAACAAAGGTCCACATGAACACTAACTTTCACATACTTTAATTAAGATCCTTACATTTGAATGCTACTCCCCTCCGACTGACAGGCTGACAGAGAGAGTGTGTGCAGATGAGCGAACTGCTGAGTCACTTTTTAGAAAAAAGATTTGCTTGTATTTCATCCTAGTTTACAAAGCACAGATGTAATTGATGCAAATAGCAGTCAGATCTTGCTAACACTTGGGTTTTCATGTGTCCTCTATATTTTGCTTTTCAACAGAGAAACATTTCTATTACTGACATGACTTTCTAATACTGCTATGTTTTGTGTACTATTTATTACAAATCATGTGCTAGTACACTCTTTTTTACAAGATGTAACTTCATTTTTCTATGAACAGTCCAATATACAGTTATAAATACATCATGATTCTCTTTCAGTGCTTCTCATTCTTATCTTGTAAATACTGTTGTGTTTATTGTCATTGGCTGCTCTCTTGCCCATAGATGGACCTTGTCCACCCTGATAGATGCCCATACTTGAGGATATCTCAAAATAATAGTCTGGATCAGATTATGTGATACTGTGCTGAGATAACCACTGGTTTGTAATTGAATGGCGGAAATCCCTCGTTCTTTGCACGGCTTTTACCAATGGGTAGAATGTTACTCTTTTGTCTATGTCCCTTTGATATTTGATCCATCATCCACTCTTTTGGTGTTCTTAAGACTTTTTGTCCTGCTGTTGTATTTCATTCTTAATAAAGTGTTAAAAAAATAACCCCCTCCTCAACTGATTTGTATGTCTACAATAATAATATTATCTATGAGTCTGATATAGAAGAGTCCTCCTTTTCACTATGTACTACAATGTACTGTGTTTTACAGCATACACTATGATAACCTCAAGCCCATCTGAAAGCCTGATGTGTCATTTCTGTGACAACTCACACAGATCCAGGGTTCAGTTCTTATCTCTCTGAGCTGAAGTTAACTGGGCCATTGACTGCCGTGATGACTTCACCCACAGACCACTGATAAAATATGAACACTGCTCCACGTACACTTAAATGTGAAATAATCAAACTCACTGCTACACAAAACCTGTCTGTTTTAATGCTTCAGATCGCTTTCAAATCCGTTACACTGATATTGTGTAATCAGACAGAGAGAAGTCTATCCTGAGCAGCTTGTAGTAGTCGTATTCTGAGTGAATAAGACAAGATCAACAGTATGTTTCACCTGAAAGCACAGCTTGCCGATCACACATCTTCATCAACAGTCTCCTATCAGGGTCCAATAGTCCAAAAGTTTATACAGGGAGTGCATGGTCTGTGCACACAACAATGCCACAGTATTCCAAAGTTCTGTGCTTCCTGTGTGGTCTACTTCTTCTTCTTGTCATTGCTGGTTTGTCCTTTGGGAACAGGTTTCATAAAATAAGCAGGGCTGGTGAGGCAGCGCAGGGCCAGGACAGAGGGCACAGCGGCGAGCAGCACATTCACAGAGATAACAGGCCACCATTTGTCTGTTGGGACACGGTACGTGAAGGGAGTACGGGAGTGGAGAGATGCTCCGATATGGCACCACTGAGCCTGAAAGAGAGGAGAGAGGAAGAGGAAGTTTTACTTTTTATGTTGCAGAAGGATGAGTTACAAAGTGTCATTCAATACCTGGGCCATGGCTCCAGCGAATAAGATAGTCCAGTCTAACATCCAGCCACAGCCAGGTGTGGTCAGCCCATAAATAAGAATGACCATCAACGGTACTGCGTAGAACAGGTACATCAGCATCTATAGCAGAATAATATAATAATAATTATGATGACCATAAATTGGGCTTAATTCGTTCAAAGCAAGTCTATGGTGGAACAGTGTGGAGTGGTGTTGACATTGCACATTAACTAGGGGTGTGCATTGTCTTGAGTCTCAGATATATCCCGATACTAAAACAATGGATGATATATTGCGATTTATCAATAATGACTTCTAATAATACAGTCAATTACACCTTCAAGAGAACACAATTGATGAAAGATAATTCATAAACTTCTTAAAATCAGGAGAACTGTGAATGTAATTAATGAATTTTTGTGAAAAATATTATTTAAAAAATCGATTCAGATCCATTTTGAATTGATTCGAGAATTGTGCAATGAAGTATCACGATATATCACTGAATAGATTTTTTCTTACACCCCTAACATTAACACAATTTTAATAATAACAAAACAAGGTTAAACTGTAAATATGCTTAGGAACAACACTCACCGTTATCCTGGGGAAGCCCACTGGATCTTTGAGATAAGGTTCATACTGGTAAATGTAGTTAAAACAAGCATCTAAAGGACAGTCCAGGACCACCTACAACATAGAATGAATAATTAAACATTATACATATACATATATATATTAACGTGCCCGGCCCTAATATATATAATATATATATATATATATATATATATATATATATATATATATATATATATATATATATATATATATATATATATATATATATATATATATATATATATATATATATATATATTAGGGCCGGGCACGTTAACGCGTTAACTTTGTGTTAACTAATTAATAATAATATTATATATATATATATTTTTTTTATATATATATTTTAATATATTTTTATTTTATATATATTTTATTTTATTTATTTTTTTTATACTTACAAACCCCCTAAAAACAGTGAAGGCCATAGCTCCCAGTAACAGAATAGACAGGATTAGGTCAACAGGCCGAGAGAGCAGACTTTTTTTCTGTTCTGCCACAATCTGGAAATAAAATGAGGTTTAATAGGTTAATAAGTGTTGCCTTTCAAATACAACTAGTCAGGTATACAAATATATATATTTATGTTAATATATTAACACAATTATGCCTTATCTGCAGTTACAATAGGCATCTCTCTAGGTCTGCTCAAGAGCACAGAGGCAGCCCAAAATGGCACCAGAAAGAAAGGGGTATTCTTCCAAAATGCAGGTCTGATGTTAGAGCCGTATTTACCTTGAAAGAGACAATTACACAAATTATAACTAATATAATTTTGCGAAACAATAATGTCATGTATTGAAAGCAATATCTCACCTATGACTACTCCTAGTATATGGACAACTTGATGGGCGATGGATGACCCTGTCCATAGCAGAGCTAGGCTACGATAAGATTTCCTGTTTTGAAATTAGAATTGCTGTGTGAATTTCTGAAAATTACAAAAACTGTAAAATATGAATAGCCACATACCCTTTAAACATGCGGTGAATAATAGTTATGAAGAGGATGAAGTGCACAATGCCTTCCCAGTAGGACATCATAACAGCATAAGCAGCACTCAGATGAGGTTCACCCTATGGGCCATAAGTAAAACAATATATAATGCAGAACAAGAGGACAAAAGTTAAATACATATATTATAATAAAAATAAATAGCCTATAGAACAGACAAATTAGAGGATAAAGGACTGTACCATTTTTAAGTAAAAAGCCATGAAGCCTGAGATGTATCCATCCTGCTCCAGGGCATTAGTGAGGCCCACCATGCAGATAAAAGCAAACTCTGCAAATACTGTTCAAAAACAGAAATATTTGGACAAAAATAATTTCCCTGTTTGACATATTGTGTTGCTTTGTGTGATCTACCATAGAACAAAGGGTCCACTTTGGTCTGATGTTGCACAATGAGAAGGAGGATAAGCAGAAGTGATCCCAGTACAACCATCCCCATTCCCAGGATTGGCAAGGGTCTGAGGAACAAAAGCTTAGTCAGTAAAATGTCCTTTGCCTAACTTGAAAACACACACAGAGTTTTAGGCTCTTGATAATCCATCTGTTTAAGTGAGGTTATCCTGGGACAGACCTTCTCAATCAGATTTCTTTTCTTTTTCTAAGCCCTGATGGATTTTGTAAAGCTGTGCCAGTGCAGGTAAGCAAATGAATGAACTGTAGACTTACTCTTGTAGCACTGTGATGTTGTTCATGATGTACAAGACCCCGGGAACAAGCAGAGACAACAGAAAAACACAAAACTCAGCAGGTGGCCTCATCCTTCAGTGTTGTGTGGCAAAGATTTTGATTTAAAATTATGTTGTGAGCTGTTTATTCCCAGCTAAACAGGAGACTGCCTCATACTGAAGACTACTCCAACTGAAAAGCCTGTAATCACAAGGTGTGCCTTTGATATGTGACGAAACAGGTCGCTATCTACTCTGTCTCAAAGTTCAAATCAGTGACAGGATTTTAAAGAGAGAGGACCACACATGTGGCATACACATTGATTGTATTATAAATACAGTTAATGTATTTGTGATCATTTAAATTTCTCTTAGTTATTAAACCCTCTTTCAAGTAGGCTTGTCACAATAACACATTTTGAAGTATGATATATTGGTGATGAAAATATAAACGATAAACGATAATATTGAATGCCATTATGCCACTGACAGAATAAAACCTAAAGCAGTAACTATTCTGTATTTGCAGTACTGTTAATGAACATGAGGTGCAATATGTAAATAAAACACTTAATGAGGCGTAGAAGTTATTTATTTAACCTCTACAGCCAAAATCGTCAGAAAAGTACAAAAAAATAACAAGTTTCATCTATTCAGCGATAAGTGAATATTCATATTCAGGTCTAGTTAGAATGTATACTGACAACTACTAGTTTACAACTGATTTATACATCTAAAAAAGTAGATAAACTGTTTTTGTTGTTTAATTAAACATTCATAATATTTTCATAGATGATGATTTGGGATAAATTGTGGAGCTGCTGTAGTTTGGACTTTTCTTGTTAAGCCATCTGTTCGGTTTCATTGTAAGATTAATTCTTTCTTTCATTTGCCAATCTTGATTAAATTCAGGATTATATTTGAGACAGAATAAAGAGTCCATGTAAAAATATTTTTCTTCCCCCTTTTACCTGTTTCATACATCCTTGGTCTGCTTGAACTAATCTGCTATGTTGTCATGTTTTGCACATACATGCAAGGTATGTATGGACATTATGTAACACAACATCTAATGCAACTTTATCCCACCTTTATCTTCTGTAATAAAGAGGATTATGTCTCTGCTGCCACAGAAACTTAGTGACCAGTGGAAAGCTGAGTGTGGTGAGGGGTGGGGAGAGGAATACTAGAAGAAGACCCATGAGCGCACAGAGACACAGTCGCACAGCTTTTTAAGGTGACACACTTTCTCTCTTTTTTTGTGTCCTCAGTCTGTTGCCACGATGCACCCTTTAATAATTGGGATTATGACTGTGAATACCTCCCTAACTTTCCTCTACTGGACCTTCCTCCTGGGTGATGCCTACTTCAAATGGGTGGTGGAGCCTGAGGACAAACCCAAGAAAGTGGTGACACCGGCAGCCTAGCAAAGGCACTATGGACCTGCCTGTCTCAATGTATCAGTGCTTTTAGGTTTTCCTCTGCATAGGACTAGATTGCATCTGATGTTTTGCATCTTATTGGAGGGAAGACTACTAAGAAAGAATATTGTCTTCTCTTTTTTTTTTTTTTTTTTTACTGAAAATTGCACTAACCCAAAATAAGGTAATCCCACTTTATTGTTATCAATGTAGTAAATATAATTTGTTGATTTTGGAGTAATGTCTTTATTGATGAAATGCAGACCTTACAACAGTTTAACAGTTTAACACCTTGAGTTAAAGTTTTAGCTTTTTAACAGAGCTCATCAGGCCCTTATGTGCTGACTCAGTGAGGTGTGACTCTGGTCCCAAATCCTGCCAAGGATTACACTCTGAAAACTACAGACACAGATAGACAAGCCACGCACACTCACCTCATCGCCATCACTTTACATCTGTCCTCACAACATGTCACCTGACACCTTCTACTTTGGGCTGCATCCTGTCTCCTGGTTTATTCTCTTTGCAAATGTATGCTTCATGCTCATGGAATGGCAGTTTCTCATTGCAGAGTTTCAAGTGATCTCTAAGAAAAAGATAGAACCCATAAGTGAGAAAACCCATGAAGCTTCTGGAGGTAACTGATGCCTGTAGACCAGCCCATTTCAGAGACGGTATGTATTCTGTTTGTCGTTATTCAAAAGTCAAAGTGCCTGTCTTGATCATGTCGTGTTTTTTTTTTTTTTTTTTTACATTGCAGAGTAATTAACTGATAAGTCACTTAAAGCTTCCAATGCAAGGTAAACAAATATCACCTATTTGTGATTGCCTTTAGTTATCAAGAAGGACATAAACTCAGATTTTGTCAGTGATAAATGTATTAGGGACTTATAGGAAGTTGTAGCTATCTCATACATGTATGATAGGTGTATGAGATGTATTTGATGCAGTATGGCAAAGCGATAGAGGACCTAAGCCTCTTTGCAGCATGAATGTCCCCCTCACCTCAGTCATGCCTCTAATCCCTACAGATGGAAAGCTGATATTGCTTTGTGATAGATTCAATCTTATTAACTCTGTCTGTCCTATATTCTACTACTATTTCTCTCTCTGAGCTACCTGAGCAACACAGAACAAAAGATTAACATTCTTGTTCTTTCATTCCTGGACCACTCTTGTGGTTGTGGAAGTTTTGCATTTGAGATATTTCAGAATAACTTGTTAAAAAATCTGATAAGCCAATCATCAAAATATAAAATCAGTTTAATAAACTGAATAAATCTTCTCCTCCCCTTCCTCTTTATGATTCCACCCTATGATCAGTAATCACAGAGTCATAAAGGACTGTACCATCTAAACCATACAACTTCAATATGGACCCAAGCGATGTGTCCCTGAATGCCCTGCTCGACCACCGGCATCTCCTGCAAATGCCAAAACACCGGGAAGATGCCTATTTTGTGGATTACATCCCCCCAGCGAGAGATAGCATTTCTCTGCCCCCCAACATAGTTTATATTGTAGTGGGAGTGGTCTTGGTCATAGTGGCCACATACGCCATAGTGGGGCATCTCATAAAAGATTTGATGCATGACTTAGCAGGTAACAGCAGTGGTGGTGCCTCTCTTTTGAAACTTTTTCCCAACCTTCAAACCAAAACTTTACCACTCCTTTTTCTCCTTTTGTTATAAACCGTGCACTTTGCTGTGTCTGATTTTCCTCCAATGTTTCTTTTCCTATAAGTGAAGTGAGAATTTTAACCAAAATACATTAAATTACCACAAAAAACACACTCTTACATTACTGTACCTATTTTCCAGACTGGCTCTTTGGTCCCAAACTGGTGGAGGATGACATAGAGATGGGACAGCTAGAAGAGGAGCGTCACATGAGCGTGTGCAGTAAGGCGACCAACCACAGCTCAGTGTGGATGGGGAGTAAAATGAATGGAGTCTTGCCAGGCTTTTGCTATGAAGATGGTGGTCTACAACGTCCCCCCACTCCTGGACTGCCCTTAAAGAGCGCCATGGCTTCATACCCTCCATCCAAACGCGCCTCCGCCCACAGTGTGTCATTTGCAGTCCCTTCGAGTCCCTTTGTGACCTCTCTCTGAATCCATCTGTCAGTACAATTCCCATGTATGACCTTGTATTTATACAATAATGGTGCAAATAAAATGCTTTCTACATGTGCAGTTTATATGTTTGATAACCCTCTAACTTTGCTGTAATGCCTCCTAAAAGAATACAATAATAATTTGCCTGTTTTGATGTTGGACTAATCTTCCCTTCAGTAAACAACTGAAAAACACCAGTGAGTCTTGTCTGCTGTTCTTAATCCATTTTACCTTTCTCTAATACCTGTTCATATTATCCACACTGACCTTGTTAGTAAATGGCCTGGATTATTACATATATCAGCCAATGGAATATCTGCTAAGTAAGAGATAAATAATATTGGTAATAATATTAGTTAAAAGTAGTTTTCTCTTTTTGACAGTTAAGACTGGGCGATATGACAAAGAGTGAATCACATCTTTTTTATTGTGTGTGTGTGTCTATATATATATATATATATATAATTTTCAAATGATATATAGTCTAAACTCTACTCCTAACCACATGCTTTTACTGCACAGCCAAGCTCCACACAAGTCTTTATCATTATTAATTATAATAAATTATAATTATTACTATATAATTATAAATTATGGGTTGTCAACAAGACCTGTGTTAAACTGGGGACCAAAATATAGTGGACAATAAATATGAATGACTTTGTGACCTAACAGTTTTTATGCTTTTGTCATCAAATGATGTTGCTCACAAGGTTTGAATGACCCCGAATGAACCCAGCAGCAGCTTATCTGGTTTCTATCTGCGTAGACTGCATGAGCACACAGGTAGAGCATTAAGTGAGTGCTAAAGGAAAATAATAAAATGTCAACAGCTGTAAATATTGTAATTTATTCTTAGCAAAAGGTTCACTTCTGAGTGCTATACCTGTAAGTATGTTTCTCTTCTTAAACTATGGATATGGTGATATGGATATGGTCATTATTGGTGATATTTTTCAAGTCTTTAAAATACAGATCTGCTTACAGAGGAGTCAGAGATATGTCGGAAACGCTTGGTGTACCAGTGAATAATCTGAAGGTTCATTTCAAAGAAGAGGATGGGACAGTGTTTTTTGAGAGCTACGTTCCCCCATCTCGAGACGCCATCCACATGCCCACGTATGTCCTGTACCTGCTCATAGCTGTGTTTATTGTGTTGTCTGTGCTTTATGCCATCATTGGACACCTCATCAAAGACCTCATCCATGACTGTGCAGGTTAGTGCATTTTAATGATCGAGCCTTCAATTCATTTTCAATGTCAACTAGTTTTTTTTATGCATCTAGATTGGCTGTTTGGGGCTCAGCCTGAGGAGATAGAGGTAAACTACTGTGAAGCTAAAGATAAGTTTATGGTGGACTGGTGTCCAGAGACATCACCTGAGCTGGAGGCCATGGCCAGAGCCGAGGAGAAGAATTCCTTTGACAAAGATTTCCTCCGAGCTCCAGCCATATGGATCATCTCAGATGTGGCAGAAGCACGATCAAGTAGAAGTTCCCCTCGTGTGGTGTTTGGGAAGAGTACCTAGACTGAGAGATGAAACATACCACAAATATAATGAAAATAATAAAATGGTTCATGGCTTTGTTGTACATCTATTGCACTTTCCTTTGATGGATTTAAATTTAATTTGAATGCCTTCAAATATGTCTTTGAAATAGTGTTCTAGCTGTATGCAAATCTGATTAAACAGCTCACGGTAGACAATTTCAAACGAGTGTGTTGTTTTATGGGGACATCTAGTGTCTGTTCAGGCACTTGCAGTAGCCACAGGCAAGAAGGCTGCTACTGCGGTGATACCAACTGACTGGAGGTTCACGTATAATGAACTTTTATTTATGTTCTAAATGAACGAAACGTGGAGAAAGCTATTACGTCCTAAATCCTGCCATATGTTTAGTGTATTGGACTAAAATGCACAATATTATCTGTGTTTTTTAAACCTTATAGAACACGTTTCCAGAGCAGATGCATGAGCCAACAGCGCTATTGCGCCCTCTACTGGTTAATGTGTGATCCTCACAACCACCCTGGGTCATGGAAGGCTACGATTTGCCATGGATGTATTATAAACTCACTTTGGCCTTTGTGCGGCGAAACTTTTCTGTTCACCACATGAGTCTCATCTCTCATCATCTAGTCACTCAGTTAGGCTGAAAATATTGGTTTAATCTCCTTAACTGACTACACATCTCTTTTGAACTGATGAGATTATCAGTAGATAACTACAGCTACAGACTACCCTTGAAAACTAAAACCACATCTTGAAAACACATCGAGCTAGCCTAATCACTGTGTTGCTCACCTCACTTAATGTTGGCTGGCTTAACCGCAGGGTGTCCCTCACGTGTAAAGGTTTTTACACCCTGCTTTTGTGCTGAGCTGAGGAGCGCAGTTTGAAGGCGCGCAGCCACACGCCCCCTCAGCGTCAGTGGGGCAAACGCTGTGTTCCCGGGAATCGCGCGGAGTGCAGACAAGATAAACGGACGGAGAAGTGGAAGGCTGTCGAGATGGATATTTTTTGACAAAAGGACGTATCTTATGGATTGGAGCTCAACATCCCCGGAGCCCGGACAGGCTGAGAGCCAGAGGTGAGATGCAGATGGTGTGTGCGGGACGCCGCAGCGGAAGAGGCGCTCTCATTGGATATTAGCTACAACAATGCAATGTCGCGGCATTTGCAGTACAGCTAATTTACTGTTTCTGCAGACAATAATAGATAATTATGTAGTATTCATTTGCATTTGGCCCTTGAATGTGTACTGTACTATCTGTTAAAGAAGCACATATGTATAGATAAGGCCTTATAGCTGGTGGACGGTACATTAGGGGGCTACTGTGTGCACTATTGATTCATGTATCGAGGTCATTTACTGACACGGTTTCCAAACTAGCTTAGAGCTATCTGAGCTATGCCCACTCCGTGTTTGTGTTGGAACTATATCTACACGTTTCTGTCCTACTATAAACTGGTCATGTTTCTGGCCTACATTGTGAAATAGGCTATTTCGCAGCATTATGAAAAAATTTAAAGAACATCGCCGTTGACACCAGCCAGTATCACACTGACCACACTGTAGGTTATTGCCACATACAGGCCTTTATCTGTGATACCAGGACAAAGAGGGGACAGGTTCAGACAAAAATTTGCAGTGTAAACTTGTTGTCCACCTGGTGTTTGAATGCAGACCTTGCAGCTGTTAGCTGTCATGCGAATATAACTGACAATGACCAATAACAAAAACAAAAAAAAAAAAATATATATATATATATATATATATATATATATATATATATTATATATATATATATATATACATATACATATATATATATATATATATATATATATATACACACACACACACACTCACAGTGTAAGGGGTTAAATGCATGGTTGGACTGCTTTCATTTTGGCTGGTCTAGAAATTACAGGGTCATGCTTTGATACAATACACAATACATGTCTCACAGACCTATAATAAATGTCACACAATATTTTGATATTTTTGCACACCGCTAATCTGAAATGCCATTGTGTAAATGCAACCATAATCAAAACCATTGGACTGCCTAAGAGCCATTTGTCTGATCTGCTTGCTACCATGATCTTTGACCCCTAGGGCTCATCCCATTCTCTCCTGCTGGGTTTCCCGAGGGATGTCAAATTGCCCAAAGATGGGCAAATGGGATCAATGGGTGTCTCAGCCTTTAGTAGCCCTTAATTTCCTTGAGACCTCTTTTCTGTTGAACCAATCAACAGAAACGATTAGCTACAGTGTTATGTCTAGGGACAAAAAATATAATGTATTTTTTTTACACAATTAACTTGAGTTAAAATCAGCAGTTTTTGTTGTTCAACTGATCATTTTTATGTACACCTTTATAGTGCTGTGGAGGAGAAATCACCCAACATCACCAGTCACATGTCAGGTATATTTCATTTTATGTAACACTTGCTATTATGAAAACACCACCAAACTGAAATCACTCTAATATTTTGTGCTTTTTCTGTGTAGAACTGTGTAGTGATGAAACAGACAATGGTCCTCCACTTCAGCCCCACACACTCAAGGAATTTGAACAGGTAACTACATTTTCACAAAATAATAAACTGCTTGTACATTGTTATTGTCTCCAATGCTATTCAGTGGTATATTAGTTATGGCTTTAATTCTAGTGTGTTATGGCTGGCTTGTACAAATGCTTCAATATAATGTAAATAAAGTATATAGTTCTTGAATATGTGTTTGAAGGGAATCGTTTTGCATCTGTGTAGCTAAATCCTGGCCTATTTTTATCATATAAAGCAATTCTATTTTCCAAGGTCATTGAAAACCATGTATTAGAAGAAATCATTATGTGATTTGTAAACTGGAACTATCGAATGTTAAATGCTGTTCAGATATATGTTTGTAAAGATGCTATAGTGTTTACCCCATGTGACATATTTTGCAGCTGAGCACATAGCTGACATTTCTGGAATTCTCAGGTAGTGAAGTTAAGCCCGTTTGCCAGCACATGTCAGATTCAAGGCCAAGTGTTTAGGCTTAGGTTTGCGTGCCATTCCTTTAAAAAGACTACACGCATTACAGTTATTTAAAAACACTTTGATTTCTCAGTGTGTTTTATACTACTTACTGTGCAATACCACAAGATAATTTGTACAAGATGATGACATGAACACGCTGGTATTGTGTGTTTTTTAATGTTTTTTTTGTATATTTAATTAATTGTTACTTTGCCACAACAGTTTCTATGCTGCTTCAGTGTATGGGCATCTACCATGAAAACAAATTTATCGCGCGGAGTAAATGTAGAGGTCATACTTTTTTGTAGGCGATGACATTACAAAAGTACATTATGTAACCTTTCTGATGTGGTGTCTTTGTTTGTTTCTATGGAGATGCTACTGATGGGCGTGGTATATTTCATAGTATGGCATTAAACATATTTTCTATTTGTTATATTACAGGTGTTTTTATAACAAGAAAACTATATAGGATATACTAAATACTTGTATATTGTATCTGACCTGTAACATGGCTTGGTGGTTGGCTAATGCTAGTGTCACAATACTAAAATTTAAAACTTCACTTTAGTACTAAACAATGGACTCGATACTCAATACCGATATCATAATGATTAAAAACAGACAGCAGAATTTGATTGTTAAATAATAATAATAATAATAATAATAATAATAATAATAATAATAGGATTATTCTCCCCAAAAATATTCAAAATATGCAGTAAATGAGTTTCAATTAATAAACAGCAGAATTAAAAATTTTGTTTGTATCTATAAAGAGTCACAGAAATTATGTATCCAACATTTTTAGCTCAAAACTAATCATAGTACAAATATTTAAAAAAAAAGTACCCACAATAACATTGATACTTGTGTATGAGTATCTAGCGTTGATACTTGTATCTGCTATTGATTAATATCAGATTTTTGAAACTTTTGACAACCCTACTTAATGCCATATTGTAGAACATTACAGACAAAGTAATAATATCTCAATGCAGACAAGCAGGTGACACTATCTGCATCTATAAAGTGACATGCAGAGATTTTCTTCTGCTAATGAACTGGAAGCATGCTGTGTGACATAGAGATACACCAATCTGACACTAGTATTCGATATTGGCACTGATATTGAAACATTTGCTGGATTGTGTAACTGCTTCCAAATATCGGTCGGTTCAGACGATACCCTGATTGGACAGATAAATGTATGTAATAAGACTCTTTACTGGTCATATAGTCTACCCAAAAAGTCTCATGATGTTTGAATTTTTATTTATACAAAACTCTTCTAAATGAGAGCTACATAACACATTTGTTCCAGTTTTGTCTTATTTTTGATTAAAGGAAATAAATGCAGTTATCTGTCTCTGGTATCAGCCAATATTGGGTATTGGCAATGTAGTGGACCAAACAGAAAGGCAAAGACAAAGTATAAAAATAAGTTTAAATTTAATAAAGTCAAAAAAGATATAATTTAACAAAGGCTCAAATTAGGCAAATTATTAACAAAAAAGCCAGGCCCAATTGGGGTAGCTCAAAATCAAACTGAACAGAACAAAACTAACCCCAACCAGACAAATGAACAGGGGTGTTTAAATACTTGAGGACCAACTAAAGCTAAACACAAGAGGGAGGAATTACACTAAGTAATTAAATAAACTACTAACTTAATCAAAGTAACAAAACGGCAAATAAATATAATACAGAAAATAATAAGTGATAATAAAGTGACCTCAACACAAACTAAACAAGCTAACTTAATAAAACTAACTAAATAGTGCTCCCCCCTTCTTGTTGAGTGATGATGGTCTCTCCCAAGGGTCCTCCGTCCGGTGCTCAAAAAAACCCCAAAAAGAACAAGTGTAAGTAAATTAGACTTATATTAACTAAAATGTATGCACTCAAATTAGAATATAAGTCTAAATAAAATGAATTATAATTATGTGTAATGTAATTAATTAATGTAAGTGAAATTAAATAATACTGACACTATAGATTGGTGGCAGAGGTATCCACCACTTGCAAAAGCTTAATGCTATAGCATCAGAATCGGTGTTGGACCTCAGAAAGCTGAATTGGTGCATCCCTAACTGCGTGACATAGTGATGAGTGTGAAAGAGTCATGTCTATTGTTAAGGTGTTTAAAACATATGCATGATGTCATTGTGAACAGACTCCACTTTGGCGTCTCTTCTATCTTTATCCTGAATAATTTAGCGGCAGGATGTAATGGGACACTTTAATGGGCACACTCACTCAGACCATTGACTGCAGATTATGTTAATATAACTTTATGTGGGTTGTGATTTTTTCATGTTTTTGGCCTAGAAAAAAGGTTTGTCTAGTTGATTGTAGTAGAGCTGAGACTGATATTGACTGCTCATATTTTTGTTGGTCTCCTCTCCACGGGATGTTGAGGGAATCACTGCTCGGTCAAGTCCTGGACACGTTTCTATTAATAGTACTGAGGCTCAATGATCCTAGAGCTCAAATTACAGCCAATTCTCCTCACCTGTCTCTCCCATCTTACTTCCTACCAGATTTCCACAAGATGTTTGTAACTGATTCAAAAATACTGACAATATTGATTTTTTTTATATTGCCAATGTGAACAACAATCAATTCAAGCAACATACAGAAGTATGTAATTGCTGCTAGCAAGGATAGATAAATGTACCCTTGAACTGAAATGCCATACAACCTTCAATCCTTCAAACCAGCAAGTTACCTTAGAAAAGGGTGAAGCTCAATATGTCTATAGAGGAGCCCCATGTCCTTCTTATCCCAGTGTTGTTTGTTTCATTTGCTTTATCAGTGGTGTGAGATTTGCTGTCACATCACAAGTGGCTGTGAGTCTGTGGCCACAGCCCCACCCCCATCTCTCCTCTGTTCCTCCGGCCTCTTCTCCTTTTCCACCCATCTCCCCAGGCAGTGTGGGATTCCTGGGATATCTCAAACTGTAAAATAACCCCCTGCCCCTGTCCCGCAGCAGTCCAGCACAACATGGAGGTGCAATGGCTGCACCTCTGACCGGCTGGGCTGCAGAGTGACCCTCTGCATCGGAAATGCCTCTTTAGAATATTGTGTGTGTGACTGTGTGAATGTTTTAGTTTTAGTGTGTGTGTGAGTAATGTCATTTTGTAAACATTATTTTCTTTTTGCTGATTTTGAGGACAATGGTGACAGGAGTCTTCCAAAGGCATGCAATGATGGTTGCAGTCCCTTAAAATGAAAGAGAACTTTCAAAAGAGACTTTTTGCACTATTTGACCTTTAAGGGACATGTTAGGCATAGTATATGCCCTATAACGGTCATGTCTAACGGTTACCGTACTTTATCACAGCATCTAAATGATCTGAAGAAGGAGAACTTCAGCCTCAAGCTCCGGATCTACTTCTTGGAGGAGAGAATCCAACAGAAGTATGAGGAGAGCAGTGAAGATGTCTACCGCTCAGTGAGTAGAAGTGACTTTAATCTGCATTTCAGTGTTCTGCTGTGCTCTTAGACAGGGTATACTTACAGAATTTGTGCTGGCTTCTTTAATAACATGAACAGAAGCTTTGGCAGATGATTGTTAACGCTAGTTACATAGACTAAAGCGAGAGACTGAAGGCTATACTGCTCTGTTGACCCAGCTTAACTAAAGCCTACTTTAAAATGTGGCTGTAGTCCCTGGGCAGGTTAATTGATTGTATTATCTAGGATCTCTCATATCAAGTTCAAGTTGTTTTTAGTTTAGCCAATGGTTTTCTTATCTCATGATATTTTGCATTATCTATTCACAAGCTTTTTCAACTCATCCAATCACCAGCAACGCCTTGATGCCTGGATATTTAAATGCTGACCTTTACTACCCGTAATCATGGCATAGTTCATGAGTCAAACAGCTCACAAACATTTAAAAGTGGAGTTTAGGTGTTAAGTCAATAATAATTGATAACTACAACTACCTGCTAGTAGGGTACCAGCTATACTTCTGGGTTTGCAATCGATAACATTGATTTATAATTAGAAACAAACAGCTCATAGTGTTCTGAATTTGACCATAAGAGCTGGTTTTATAACAATAAAACATACTGATCTTTTTTCTCAAAGGCCTCAAAGTATTTTTTATGCAATAAGATGTTGTTTTTCGTTTTGGTCAACGTTGACTTTGTTCCTCCTTCTTGTTTCAGATTGTTTATGTGCTATGTGTTATGTTATAAGGAGGAAATAGTTCATCATTGAAATATGGTGTTTATAGTTTTTCTCCCTTGGTTTGGCTCATTTCTTCAAACAGAAATTACATTCTTAAAACTATAAGATCATTTGGCCAAACAGTCTGATTGTTCTGCAGAACAGTACAGCTCACCAGCAAAAGCTCATATCTCTCCCAAAACTGTTCACACATGCTTCACAGCTACATTCTTTCCCATATAAAGAGTCATTGCTATCAAAATTGAAAATATCCTTCTCAATTGCTTTGGCTCTTTTGCATTCACTTAGTGCTTTTGTCAAAATAACCTTGATGGTCAAGCACAAAACCATGGATCACCTGCAAAAGCTCAGATCTGTCCCAAAACACTTTACCCATGTGTCAAAATGAAATTTCTTTCTCATATAAAGAGTCATTGCCCCCAAAATGCATCGTTCCTTTATGCTTAGATGTTTTGTCACTATGGCAGCAGTCTAACTAACACAATACACTTATGTATAAAACTGGGGGGGGGAAGGATTTCACAGTAAGAGCAACCTCCAAAGTTTGAGATCACACACACACTGCACTCACACCGCCAATGAAACTCTAAACATTTTATTCACACATTTAAAGTCACATAAAAAGAAAATGTTTACAGTGTTCTGTACATGTACAAAATATGAACACAAACAAAAATAAAGAAAAATTATATCTAGCCTACAGTGCTGTAAATAAAGCAAATAAAGTTTCTATAGTAACACTTTCGCTGGTCGCAGTCGTCAGAGGGAGGGAAGAAACTGCACAAATGTCTCAACCACCCCCTCCCCGTGATGTCCTCGCACGTTCAGTTGGATTGAAGAAAGGAGAGTACAGTGGTAGAAGTGAACCAGACCCTGATGAGCCGCTGAAATTCACACTGTCCCACATGATCACATAGTGTGATAGGAAGTTTTAATTTCACCTGGCTGACAATTACTGTCATGAATTTATCAAATGTTCCCAAAAAAATGATGATTCATGGTATCATGTTCCTGACTAATTTTGACAGTTGAACAGACTATTGTGCATATGATGACTAAAACTTTGAAATCATACTGACATGGTTTGGAGAGAGCAACCATTAGACTGAGAATCAACTAATCAGTTTAGATCAGCAAGATCTGTTTATTTGGAAAATGTGCTAAACATGGGCTCATTGTGTTAACTGTTGGCGACTTGTACAGAACCATGTGTAAAGATGCAGTGAGACACTTGAGACATGTATTAAGACATTTGCAATTTGATGAAATCAATGAGAAATGCCATTCTGTTGTGAACGACTGCAAGGTGGTTTGGAGATTTGTCCATGTTGTTTTGAGAATGTCATTTCTGTTTCAAGAAATAAGCCAAACCAACGGAGAAAAACTGTAACAGCACACACAAAAAATATACACAATAATCAAACTATAACTTAACTATATTAAAGTATTCATTTATACAGATTATGGTAATTGTATGATATTGTATGTAGGTCCAATATTAAATCTGAATCTGAATGTTTGGAGGTGGAGTGTGTCATGTCTGCCAGTTATTATAAGTGGTTCTGTTGCTGTGGGCCAACAGTCAAAGGGCTAGAATAGCGGGCCTTTATTTATAACAGATTTTTTAAAGGTACAGTAACTTTCAACTGTCTGTCATTTACCTGCAGTTCTGTTGTGTTGCAAATTTCTCAAGAGAAAAGAGATTATTCACTTACATTCCATGTTTTATGGTCGTGTATCTCATAGGCCTCAAAAAATTTAAGCACAATATATTGCTGCAGAGAAATACTGTGATAAATGAGAAAAGAACCTACTTTATGCCACTGACAGAATAACAATAATACAAGATAATTCCAATAAGCCAGTATCATTAAAAAATAAACAAATAAATAACAGAATGAGCCAATAATTAGCCATAGAAGTCACTGCTTTAACGTTTTACAGCTCAAATGGTATTGCATTAATGAAACAAAAATCCCCAAATCTCTCCACTTTTACAAAGAAATTGTACACATGATAAATACTGATGCCCATATATATCATTCCAGCTTTCATACATTAAATAATAATTCGATATAGTAACAAGATTTAATTTGAATGGTGTTGCAAATTTGACTAAAGTGTAAAATGATTGTATAAAACAAATTTTAGAAAAAAACATAATAAAATGTATGCCTCAATCTTTCACTCTCAGAAGATAAACAAATGTGAAGTAGGACCCGTGACCCATGGTGGCATGTCTGAGGTGTCCTGAATAGCTGATCTAAAAATATCTGCAGTGTCAAAAGTTCTGTACAGATGATACACAGCACTGTGCACCAGGGTCGAAGGGGCTTAGTGTTAGTAATGGAGAGCTTTAATGACAGTTCAACATGGTCATTGAAAGACAGGTACATTTGGTGCAGTGCGTTGAGTATAGTTGCATGAACTAGTCTTAACTTTTTCAACCTCGGAACCAAATGCTTTCAGTGCAGTGTAATCTGGGGCCCATTTACATGTTTAATGTATTAATTTGTGCAAGGAGGCACTCTCGGCCCTACCAGGAGACTAGCCTTTGTGGCAGGAGAATGCAGGTGAATAGAAAAATCTTCAAATGTAGAGATTTTAATTCATTATGTTTGCTTATAATGTCAAGAAAAAAAATTATTGGGCCAAATGCCACCCCCCGGGATGATTTCCTTTAGCTCCCGAAATGATTAGTAATTTAATATTTCAAACTAGGAAACACATGCAAATCCCATTAAAATCTGTGGATACTAGTTGCTTCGGTGACACTATAAAACATCTAGATAGATAGATAGATAGATAGATAGATAGGTAGATAAACAGACAGACAGACAGTCAGATAGATAGGTCAAAGTGTATTTGTTTTGCCCATTGTGCCTCACCTTTATGCTGTATTGTTCATTTGCTCTGTGTATGACTAAGAGAATGTCTGTTTTTGTGACAATTAATAATCTATTGTGTCCTTTTTATTATTCCAGAACATTGAGTTAAAGGTGGAAGTAGAGAGCTTGAAGCAGGAGCTCCAAGAGAAACAACAGCTTCTCGACAAAGCTCTGTAAGTCAAGAAATACCTGGAAATTCAACGTGAGGTGTAGTTTCATTGAGGAATTTCTGTACAGACCTGCTTTAACTGCAGTAACACCTCTAATTTTAGCTCATGTGTCACACAGCAGCTGATAAACAGAAAGACCCCAGAGAGACCACAGGCCTCAACTAATATTATATAATATCAATATATATTTTGATGTGTGGACAAATTAAACAATCAGTATTAGTCTTGTAACTATTTGTGTCACTCCAAAACATAAAAAGTTAATTTACATTATTATACATGCATGTTTTTAAACATATAATTGGCACAACGCAAGATTTTACAGTTTTGCACTGTTCACATCTTCTTAACGTGAGTTTATGATGCACATTGCATTACTCAGAGTGATTCAAAATAACTCAGTTATTTGAGCTGTGCATGTGTTGAACAGAGTTAAAAACATACATAGACTGTGTCCAGAACAGAGCTGATGGCGACAGAGTGGCGTGGGCCATTCTGGGAGCACTAATTCTGGGAAAACCAACTGTCCAAGAATAAAAACCTGATGCTCTTGCATTTGTTTTACAATGTCACCCTGACCTAAAATAGTACATTATATTTTAACACTGTTAAAATGCTTTCTGCAATTATTTGACCTCTGGCAAAAAATGTATTGTCACATTTTTAAATGTTTTTTTTTTACTTAATAGTGGTTGTGATTTATTTATGAATGGATGTTGAAAGTTAGCATTTCAAAGCATGTCTAATGACTAACTAATATAAATGCTACTATAAAGTTACATTTATGTCATTATATCCACTGTTAGGGTTACGGTACATCTTGATTATTTACAGTAATTAACGTCAAGATCAAACATCACTGAAACTTGTAATTTACTTTCATTCAAAAAAATTCTATAAGACTCAATTACATGACCAGCTTTACTAAATCAAACCTTCATAATGAAAAGGTCAATAAGACATAAGCTGCACACTACAAGTAACATGGAGGTTTGCTTTTGTGGGAATATATTAAGATGAACTAAATAACAAAAATTTCCATTGTTATTAGAGCCCGACCGATATGGATTTTGTTGTGGCCGATATGAAACCGATAAAATGGGAGTTGGAGCTGCCGATAGCCGATATAAACGCCGATATATTTAGTGATGTAAAAATTGACTGTAAATCTTGAATTGATTAAAAAACTTAGGTTTGGCTCTGGTGGATTCTAAATTGGGTTTATTTAGGCAACATTTATTGTTATTTTGACTCTTTACATCATATTTACATACAGTAGATTGGCCTAATGGCATTTTTGCATCACATTCTAGCTACTAGTGATGGGTATTCCAGTTTTTTTTTTTTTTTGGAGAACCGGCTCTTTTGGCTCGGCTCACTAAAGCAGCTGGCTCTTTCGGCTCCCAAGCGACTCTTGAGATTGTTTTGTTGCAAGCAGGACTAAACCAGAACTGAACCAGGACTGAAAAAGGACTAAAACAGGACTAAAACAGATTTAAGCCATGTGTAAAACAGGACTAAACCAGAACTGAACCAGGACTGAGTGTCGGGACTCGGTTTCTATCTCTCTCCTTCACTCGAGCCCAAGATTAGTTCTGGTTTATTCAATTTATGCTGAACTGCAGCCAAATATGCTTTTTTTTTTATCCTATGCACACGCAGATTTCTGAAAGTTTCGTTTTCAGCCGCTGCTACGGGTCTACATGCGGCATGAAGAGAAAAAAGTGGGAAAAAGAGAAAACACGGCTCCCAATAAGAAGCAGGCTCCCGTTGTTCGCTCTAAGAGCCGCTTCGATCGCGATCGACCCATAACTCCTAGCTAGTAAACTACCGCTATTAGCCTTTAGCCGTAAATGCTGCGCACCGCGGTAATTAATTATATGCATAAATGTGGATCATTCACACGTCTATTCACAGCTCATTTACATATCAATGCAGGTCCAGTAACAAATATACGGCCAATATAATCACTTTACAATAGACCAATAGAAAACAACCTGTTTATGTGTGAGAGCTACAGCAGCTAATCGCTAACAAAACCTAAACTAGCTTCAAAGTCGATGTATTTCCAACACTCACCGCTCATACAGGCTCCTCCTCACATCACAAGTCTGCACTAATAAATGTCCTTTTAATCCAGACTCAAATCGATTGTCCATAAAAAGAATATAATCTCAGTGTTGCACACGCTGCGGGTGTAAACAAACATACGTGAGTGAGGTGACGTGACTCTGGTGGTGTGTTCAGGGACAGTATGGACACAGACAAATTACACCGCAGATAAATACTGATGCGGAGCCACATATTAGGACATTTATCCGTCTGTAAATTGGATTAAATGAACATAATGTAGAGAGTCTAAGCTTTATAATGAGGTATAACATGCCCACGTGAAATATCGGCCCATATCAGCAAGCATATCGGCCAATAGCCGATATGTCTCCAGGTGCCCATATTGGCCGATAATATCGGCCAGCTGATATATAGGTCGGGCTCTAATTGTTATAATTCTTAAGTTATTACAGTTATATTGTGACTTGTTTATATAGTGTATCAGTAATATCAGCTTCTAAAATGAGATTTTTAATCTGACAGCAAAACAGCAGAGAGCTTGACAAATCACAATGAAGCAGAGCTGCAGAGACGGTGTCAGGAGAGACAGCAGGAAATTGACCAAATGCAGCAAGTTCTTGAGACCAAGATACAGCTCCTGCAGGAGGTAGGTCTGTCACTGTAAACATACACATACTCTGTCATTACAGTATTAAGTGTGTTTGTAATTTAGGAGGCCCAGTTAGCACGTAGTGAAGCAGACCGGATGGCCTCACTGGCTGGATCTCAGTCCCAGGCCTCACTCCTGTCTCTCGACACCCCCATGGACAACATCCCAGAAGAGGATAGGCAGCAGGACATCTGGCCCCCATCTAATACCAGCAAAGACAGGTATGCACAGACCCTGTAGTCAGATAAAGTATCATTAATATTGAGTACAGAATTCTAATACAGCATTCTGCTTGTGTAATGTTTTTTAGACTGATAGAAGAATTGACAAAAGAGATTCGATCCAAAGAGGCCCTCATCACAGAGTTGACCAGTGAGAAGAATTCTCTCTCACGCCAAGTGGAGGAGCTAGAGGGCCAGGTCCAGGAGCTGTCTTCCTTTCTGCTACAAAAAGATAAAGATGTTGATGTATGTCTGGTTTCAGATACTTGTATCTGCTAAGGTTTTAACTGAAATAAACACGTCCTCTCTTCATGTCTTTTCCTGCTAATCTCTTTCTTAATCTCTCTCTTTGTTAATAACAATCTGTGTTCTCTATCCCACAGTTCTATCAGGAAGAACTTGGCCGTGAGAGGCTACGCATTGAAGAAGAGATGCAGGTATGGAGAGTGTTTTTTAAGTGTTGCCATTTTAAGGCTGACCACTAAGTGTCACTACACTAAACACACAAGTTGACATCATACAGAGGAAGGCACCTCAGGAGATTCATTGTGCTATGCATTTATAAAGGTTTCATCTCATCACTTTGAATACCATGCTCTCAAAGCTGCTCAAATACCCCCAAGGACGCAGTCTCTAAGGTGTAGTTTAAAGGCAACAAATGGAGCATAGTGCTATTACCATGACACAGACTCACACCACCCACAATATATCACTTTCACATCAGCAATGTGAACATGCTTGTGTTACTCTGCTGTTTTTTATCTGTTTTAAGGCTTTGTACATCCATTCTAGTGTCTTTTTATTTTGTTGAGGTTTTGCCTTGTAAATCAGTTTTCCATTGGATATGCAAATGGTGGAATCAGGCTATGCATGTCTGCCCTAGATTCCCATTATAAGGAAGTTATGTGTAATAACCAAAAAAAACAAAAAAACAAAACAAAAAAAACACTAACATTATGGAGTAATAATGATCCCATGACTCATTAGTAGAATAGAGTGGCATTGTGTGAGCAGCTTTTGCTGTTGTATGTGGTTGTATAGGAGCACATTTTCAATAGACAGTGTATGTGAGTGAGCATTCAAATCTGTGAGGTCTGGTTTCAGCCTGTTGTCAGTGGGGTCAAGGTGACCTCTCTGAGTGCCTTGGGATCCCTTCCCTCATTTTAAATGCTTGTTTCTGACATTAGAGCACCAATGCTTTCCCAGACATCTCTGCATTTCTGTCCCTGAAACTTTTTAACAGTGCCCTCAGAAAAGCCATACTACCAGCAGTATGACCATCTGTTAATCTTCCCTTAACGTGAATAAGGTCTTGTTTTTCAGCTTTTAAGACATATAATTGCCATGGCAACAGGGTGGCCTCATAAAGTTATAGCCACAGCAGGCATAACATGGCACTATATGAATTGATCACAAGAGTTAGGGCTATATTCATGGAATTTGTAAGATTTCTAGTCTTGTGGTGGCTGCATACCTATTATCGGTCTTTTCATACAGTTTATTGGCTTTAGCTTCTTAATAACCGTTTAGGCAAACAGACATTGGCAGTGTATCTCGGCAAAAAGGTTTAGTCAATTCAGTTGTAAAGAACTAACTTATACTTCAGTTACTGTCATTGGTGGGTTTATTAAACCGTAATTTTACAGAGCGTCACTAATGTTGCTGTGCCACCGAGCATTTCCCCAGCTCACTCAGGCGGATACAGGAGCAAGAGAACATAAGAGACTAGCGGGGGGAGAAGCCCTTCATCCGGATTATTAGCATAGTCTATATTGAGAGGAAGCCAGTGTGCATCATAATATCTGTGTAGTTGTGATTGTAAAATGTAAAATGATGTCTTGATGAATTTATTCGTGCTTTCTGGAGTGGTCTATAGCGCGTCAGCCAGGCTCTTCCCCCTGTGCACATCTGAATGGTTGGCTCCATCGCTGCAGGTCTAGCCCTGTTCCCCGCACCACGAAGCTACTCGAGCTACATCTCGACTTTCGGTGTCTTTGCATCTGTTGTGGAATAATAAAGACATTAACAGGAATTGCTATTCGCTTCGTCACGAATGGTGCACTGCGGGTTGTTGCGGGGGACAGCACCTTGGCGATCGCCCGGTCCAAATAATCTGTGCGCCCAGTGTGTCCGTCACAACCGAGAGATGGTGCAGAGACGCAAACGGTGTGATGAAAAGATGCGCTTGTCCGTGGGGACCTGTCTGTAAACGTGGATTTATTTATTTATCACTGAAGGAAATGACATTGCGCGCCTTGTCGAGCGTGCGCCATGTTTCAGTGAACCTGCAAGAGCAAGACATAAGATTCCACATTTTAACGTTTTTATGTATTTAACATTTTTTCCCTTTCAAACTCATTTTGCCTTTACTACCTCAGTAGATTTTCGCCTATGCACATATTACACAAACACCGAGGGACTATGGACATTATTTATTATTTCTTAAGGATTTATTATTTTGTTAACGATTTCAGATTCTGGGCTATTATTATACGGTTCTCTGAACACAAATAATGTTTGATCTGAACAGAAAACATTTGTGGAATGCATGACCTAAAGATGAAGGAGACGTGTCGCATTTGTGGACGGGAACTGTGCGGGAATCAGCGCAGATGGATCTTCCACCCCACAGCAAAGCTCAACCTACAGGTGCTGCTCTCACATGCTCTGGGGACGGAGGTGATGCGCGACGGCAGAGGAGAGTTCGCTTGTTCAAAATGCACTTTCATGTTGGATCGAATGTACCGCTTTGATACAGTGATAGCACGAGTGGAAGCTCTATCCATTGAAAGGCTGCAACGACTTTTACAGGAAAAACACAGACTTAGGCAGTGCATTGGTGGGCTCTACCGTAAAACTAATTCAGGAGAGGCCACAGCTACTGTCGTTGCAGAAAATGATAATGATGGGATTGTCGACATTTCTGGACTTACTCATGCTAAGTACTGTGCACTACTGCAAGAGGATTTGGTTTACTCTTTTTATGAATCCTGGGCTGAAGATGGAGACTGTCATCATCACCAGCACTCACTGTGTCCGCCCAGCTCTGGTTCAGAGGTCACCACTGCAGGCTCACACCGCTGTTCATCCAGAAGGTGTCGAGGATGCTCTCATTTGCGTGTGGCAGATTCAGACTATGAAGCAGTCTGCAAAGTTCCCAGAAAAGTGGCCAGGAGCATTTCCTGTGGACCCTCCACTCGATATTCAGCCAGTGTTGTTGGAGGCAACATAACAGTAGGAGTTGAAGACCAAGAAAAAAAAGACAGGGAAGATACCGATGAACCAGCCTCGTCAGTAACTTTAGTGCCCGGCTCCCAAACTCTGTCTAGGACATCAGACAGTGATCGCACTCTGGCCGGACGGGCAAGCTCCAGCCCCTCTGTAACATCTTTAGAGCCAGTGGATGATGGCAGTCAGCCAACAGATGCACAGCTGAGCATCCCCCTAGACCAAGCAGATGAGCTGATATCTGACTGTCTCTTAGAGGAGCCCATGGAAACTGCGCACAGCCTCTCTCAGGCAATATCACTGCTGCACACCTATGCTGTCCATAGACCCGTCCATAGCCACAAAGGAAGCAAACTCCCTATTCTCATCAAGCAATGTCCTGGTTACAGAGACTTTCCAATCAGTTTAACAAATTCAGTTTTGGGGATGTTTCCTAGCACTCCTGAGGCAGATCGTGAACCCAACATGGCAACCCCAGATCTCCCAGTAATAAGGCTAAATGCGGGGGCTGACCTCGATGTTGATCTTAGTAGTGTGGGGGAGTCATTGGAGGAGGAGTACAAAGAATACCCTCAACCACCTCCTCATCAGGTATAACTCAAATGGAGGAATGTCTATAAAGCAAGATGTGGAAAAGAACCTTTTCTACCCCTACAGCATAGACATGAAGAACAACTCTTTTGTCTGTTGTAGTTTGTGTGCCTGCTGACTGAAATGGGTCACAAGCAGGGGGGCTGTAGATAAAGTGGCTTCACTGCCTCTGTGCCCTTGAGGCAAAGGGAGCCATGCCATATCTGACCATCTTTACTTTTACACAATAACACAAGCCTTTTAAGAGGAACAAGTAGGGGATGTTTGGAAACACTGCAATAGTTATGTTATTATTCATGTATGAACATTAACTACTCCAAGCTTTGAAAGCCAGCACAGGTGTAATCATTTGTTATCATCCGTTTCCTTATCTCTTTGAGTAAGGATGACACGTGGGGGTTTAGGGAGGATGAGTTAATGAAGCAGAAAGGAAATCAAACATATAAAGATGTTTATACTGTATTGTATTTTTCTCTCATTTCAGAGCCTTGTAGAGGAGCAGCAGAGTCAACTAAACCAGTATGAGTGTGCAGCTGGGCAGTGTGTCAGTGAACTGCAGAAGGCCCAACTCCAGGTTCAATCTTTGCAAGCTAAATTCCACGAGAGCGAGGCCAATAACATGGTATGAATTTGTCTTGATGTGTGGGTTAAATCTACATATAAAGCCTGTTTGAATATGTACATTCCAGTCAAACCATTCAAAGAGATTACATGATGTACAATATAATCTTTCTCATCTTTCTGTAGAAACTGCAGGAGAAGCTCAGTGAGATGGAGTGTGAGCTTCGTTCACTTCGTCAATCATCTCAAAGCCAGGAGCGAACTATTCAGGGCCTCAATGACTGCATCAACACCAAAGACAGTGAGGTTTGTCTATTTTTTTTTATATCGATCGATTGATATTGATATGAATGATATCAATATCATCACCTTCAATTTATTTAATCATGTCTGCCATGTAGGCTCAGGAGCTGTACCAGATGTTGGAAGGGCAGAATGCTACCCTTTGCAAATTGAGAGAATTGGTACAACACAATCAGTTGAGTCAGAGCAAGGTAAGTTTTTCCTCCAGTCATTCACAGAATGTCCTTGTTGAAACTAATAAGGTATAATCACCTTTGTTCTGTTCCTCTGCAGGCTCCAGAGGGTAGCACTGAGGCCCTGACAGTGGCCCAGCTGCAGGATGAGCTGGTGGCTGTGCAGAGCTCATTGTTTTCCCTTGGTCTTGAACTGGAGGCGAGTCAGAGGAGTTTGAGACAGAGCCAGAGGCGAGAGGCTGACCTAATCAAGTTCAAAGAGAGACTTGATTCAGATTTACAGGAAGCTGTGCAGCACAGGGAGGTCACAGAAAAACATAACCAGGTTAGTAGAGTACTTTGAGAAACAATTAACCATGCATTACAATCTTGTATGATTAACTTATTATTTGTTGCAGACTCTCCACTGCACCCTTCAAAAAACCTGCTCTGAGCTTCAAACTAAAGAAGCTGCTCTGAAAGAGACTGAGGCAGAGAAGCACCGTGTGGTGCTTGAGAAAGAAAGGACTATTGCACAGCTCAAACAGTTTCTGGGAGACAGAGAGAGGAAATTAAAGGTGAACAGTTTCTTCTTTCACTCAGATTAATTCATAAATATGCATAGAATGACACGTGTTCTCCAAAATGCTCCCAATCAGGAATACTCTGAGATGTTGGAGTCCATAGAAAGATGCAAACAGAGAGATGTTCTTGTGGAGAAACTGAGGGAACGAATTAAAGAAAGAGATAAAGCTCTTGAGGTAAATACCAAATATATTAAAAAAATCCTAAACTAATATGTACTTTAACTTTCGAGGTTATGTTAAAGCTATTCCATACTTCTTTTCTTTCAGCATTCTATTGATGAGAAGTTCCATTGTCTCGATGAGCATGAGAGCCAGGTGAGGAGCCTTCAGCTGGCTCTTCGGGAGAAGGAGCGTGACCTGGAGAGGCTCCGGTGCATCCTGTCCAATAATGAAGACACCATCACAGTATGTACATTGCTCTAGTTTAAAATGGTGAGCATGTCTGTAAACCACTTACAAACCTGTACTGTTTGTGTGTGTCAGAGTCTGGATTGTTTGGTGCGGAGTAAAGATTTGGAGCTGGAACAGGCAGCAGAGGCCTACAGGAACCTGCAATGGCTGAAGCAGCGCAGTGAGGAGAAGGACAGAAACACTCTGAGAGAAAGGGACTCCATCATTAGCCAGCTACAAGCCGCCCTACGGGCACACAGCAAGGAAACACAGGTACTAGACAACACTGTTTGTGTTGTCTGGGATGAGATGACTGAGGCCAATGTTGCTCCAGCGTGACACACACACACACACACACACACACACAGGATTGCTACATGACAACATATTTATATGTGTTTTTCACAGGATTTGACAACAGCTCTTGTTGCCAGAGGTCAAACTCCCCCCAGTGAGGTCATAGAGGAGTTAAAGGCTCGACTTTCTCTAAAAGAGAAGCTGTTCCAGGAGCTGCTCTCAGATCGCAGCTGCCAATCAAATGAACATCAGACTCAAGTTCAAGACTTGCTCAACACCATCAGCTCCAAAGACCAGTATCTGCAGGTTTGTCCTGTTAACAATGTAGAAAAGATTCTGTATTCTTTGTGATTCAGATAAAACACATTTTCCTGTTTTCATAGGACTATTCATACAGGATGTCATTGGTGATTACTGAGCGGACTGGTCAGTTGCATGAAATGGAGAAACAACTGTCATTAAGAGAACAGGAGCTGTGTAAACTTAAGCAAGACAAGGAGCTGGGAGGAGATGCAGAGAATCTTAAAAATCTGCTCAAAGAGAAGGATTCTCTTATCAAGGTTTGAATACTTATTTCACTAATAATGCCTTACTTCAAATGTAAATTATCTTGAGAACTCTTTTATCAGGAGCTAATTCAGAGCCAAGAGGATGCACTAGAATCATCTACAAAAGAAACAGAGGCCAAAACCTTAGCTCTGCAAGAGGAGCTGCAGCTTCTGCTCAAAAAGGAAAGAGCAGCTCAGGTATGTTGTGTATTTGTACTTTTTTACGTGGACATTGCAGTGTTTCATTAACACCTGGCTCTATTCTCTCTGCAGGAAGAACTCTCTGCTCTGCGATTATCTTTGGGACATCAGCAGACAGCTCAACAGGGATCTGCCATAAAATACTCCGGAGAATACCAGGTGTGATATATAATATAATGTAATGCTCAGATACGGCATGATTTGAAACAAATGATGTGATACATCTCTATGTTCATTTATATAGTGTGTGTTAGATCAGCTCTTGTCAGAGTACAACAGTCTAAATGATGCCTTGAGGACCGAGAAGAGGTTATATCAGAATCTGAGCCAAATTCATAACAGGACTGACAGGTAAAAGGGATGTGTTGCTGTTGTGTTTGTTGTGCTGTTTGTGATGATTGAATTTCTGTATGTATAGCTTTCATTATTGATTTTTTTTATTTTTACTAGCAGCGCTGACAAGATCCAGGCCTTGCACACTGAGTTGGATTCGGTCCAGGCACTGCGTGGACAGTTGGAGGAGGTTCTGGCACGGACTCGTAACATGGCCTTACTGTTGGAAAGAGCTACTAAAAGGCCAGCTGACCTAGGAGGTGGGGATGAACAGGGTCTACTGTGTAAGCCCTCAAAGGGTTCTGTCACTTATAATGTGTGAATACAACACAGCACTGCTGAGACTGAGATTGGCACTTGTTATGTAAGATGCAGCTGCCTGTAGGTGGTGATGGTCTTAACTGGTCAGATAAACATAGACAGTAGACAGTAAACATGGTGATTATACTACTGTCATTCTACTGGCAGCTTCATCAAACTGCACAAACACTGCTCTCATTAATAGTTTGTTTGATAACCCTCATGATAAGAAGTGCAACTCAACTTTACATAAATGTTATTTATTAACAATATTTATACATGTGGTGTGAACATTTTATAGTAAGTAAAAAACTGCCTGCCTATTGCTTTGCAGTGTTCTGTATTTGCCATTTTGTTTTTCACTAGTGTGATTCTCATGGCCTTATTGTGAGAAAGCTCATGCCTTTAAGTGAAATGTCTGTCCATTGTGTCGTGTGATCAGTACCATGCTGTTGTCTTTATGCCCCCCAAAAAGAAAACAAAAATCTGAATAGAAAGATTCCCATCTAGACCTGCACATCAGCATCCTTGTGCTTGTTAGATGTACATTAGTTAGTATGCCTGACCAGAATGTATCTGTTTCATCAGTCAACCATTAATTTCATCAAGCCAACTTGTCCCTTTGGTATTTATTACTCAAACTAACTCTTAACATTTACTCTCTGTAGGCATTGTTCTTGTTCTTTTTAATCTATAAGGTGGAATCCTTGATAATCTTTGTACAACAAATGCAACTACAATAAACATGCTGGGGTTGTGACCAAGGCCCTGTTTTTCATTACTTTACTTGTGTTTGAACATGAACCCCCTTCCTAGAGCCCAAATAATAAATACTGTACAATGTCACTGCATAAAAGCTAAGAACAAATATGTACACCATCTAACATACATGTATTATCAAGATCAGTGATTTTTTTTTATAATCTGTCCTCATGCATGAAACTGTGGCATGGTTTTCATGTTTGCATGGCTATTTTTCTTTCCAACACAAGAGGTACCAAATGAAAGCCCTTCACTATCCTTTTGCATAAAAACAGCAAAGCACAGAAAAGACTGTTCATTATATTCTGTTACAGTCAGAATACTCATACCTTATTTTTAAGGATGTTTACATTATTGCTCAGCCTTCAGACTATTTATATATTTCTCAAAAATAAATAAAACATTGTTACAATTAAACATTGTTTCAATCTATCCAGACATATATTATTTAAACTATGACAGAGAACATTATCCAGGGCTGTTATGTAACTATTTGCCTTTGAAATTCCTACTCATCATTTTGCCCTGCGTTGTAGTTTTTTCATATGTCCAGTTACTTAACTGACAGTTTACAGTAACTGTAGAACACTGTCTGAATGCAAAGTACACTGTCTCCACAGCAAACCTAAATACTATCACAAGGTTTGCTCTGGTCCAAATGTATTTGGCTTCTGTTAAGTGTATGACATAACATGCCCCTCTGTCCCATGACTTCAGTGTGAGACTGGGAGAGACGGAAAAATAAAACAGCCGAGGTGCAGCTCACAGATTCAAAACTTCTGCAATAGAACAACTAATAACTGAAAACTAATGATTGCTGTTTGTTTGGTTATTTTTAGAACTTGAAGAGAAAGACTTTGATGATGATTGCAGCAGTGAGGATTTTTCTGACAGCATAGAAGAGGAGGACTGTAAAATAACCGCACAGAGTTTTACATCTATTCAGGTACTTCAGTTATATATTATTCAGACTATCATTGTGTGTAAATATTTTTTTCAGATCATTCTTACAAATGACCTGTCCTTTTAGGCTTCTGAGATACAACAGCTTGAAGAAGAAAGGACAACACTCGAAGCTGAACTCGAAGAAATCCAGTCACAGCTGGAGCAGGATGGGTTTAGTTCATTTGCCCATATGAGGTATTTGTCCCTCCACACTATATTCCTTTGCTTTAGGAGGAGGTTCCCTGTGTCTCCTTTTAATGAAAAAGGAAAAAATGCAACAAAGCTTTTAGCTGTATATTTTATATTATTTTAAAAATATTTTCAGGAGCATTTTAAGAAAGCTGCAGCAGGAAAACTCTGCTCTTAAAGAGAGCCACAACCAGACCAACGTAGAGCAGTGTTTGAGTGACCAGGATACTGAAGATGAGCTGGAGACAGAGGAGGAAGAGGACAAGGAGAGTGACGAAGAGGAGGAATCTCCTTTTGCCAGTGTTCATCATCAAATGAGACCTAACACCTTGAATCTATCTTCCAACGTTGTCGTAAGTTACAACACATTACTTTAGTTCCTTGAATATTTATAATTCTAAAACATCATATTCCCGGTAACTATCTTAGGGGGTGGGGCCTCCTGCCTGCAGTAAGACCCCAGAGTGCTGGCACGACTTGGAGGAGGGTCTGAGGGAGCAGGCATCCCGTCTGCGCTCTGATCTGGCTTTGAGCTGTCAGGAGAACAGAGAGCTGCAGGAAAGACTGATGGTGTCTGAGGCCACGGTCCATGCTCAGGCTGAACAGCTGAAAGACTATAGAGATCTGTTGAGTGAGTGTTCATCACCCATGTGCTTTATGCACATCCAGTAATCAGCACTAAATGTGATTTTTCTACAGCAGAGACATCCGTCAAACAGGCCAGTAAGCACGTGCAGGTGGATCTCCAAGACCTAGGATATGAGACCTGTGGGCGTAGTGAGAACGAGGCAGAGCGTGAAGATGCTAGCAGTCCAGGTACAATACAACAAATATACATACATAATACATATTATAACAATTTTATCTCCTGTTCTTCATTTTGTCATCTTTATGCTTTCCCTTCAGAGTTTGATGACCTTGAAATGTGCACCACACTATCACAGCATCAAGATTATGAGGGTAAGGGCAGTGGTTGGTATGCTGGTAACACCAGTAACACAGGGTCATTTAAAACAAGAGGAGATCCCAGCTCTCTTCAACATCTGGTCCAAGATCTGCGTTGTCAGCTAACCCATTGTCACAAAGTGATTCGTGGGCTTCAAATGAGAGTACGCTCTTTGTCAGCCACCAGTGATTATGCTTCCAGTCTGGAGCGAACCCCACGAAAGGTATTTGTCCTTTTTCTAGATGTACTTTTATCATGAATGAAACTTTCATTATCACAGATCATATGTCTTTAGGTAAACTGGGCATTGGCTAAATCTCCTGAACCAAGTGGTGTGGAAGAGGATGAAGGGTGGATGTCTGATCCACAAGGAGTGCGCTCAGGGTCTAGCCGTAACAAAGCTCTTCAAGAACTCATGGAAAGAGTAGCGTCATTGGAGACACAATTGAGAAACTCCATTAAGGACAACAAGGAACAATCAGAAGACACAAAATGTGCCACATGGCCAGGGTAAATGCAGTGTGTGTATATATATATATATATATATATATATATATATATATATATATATATACATGTGTGTGTGTGTATATGTATATATATATATGTGTGTGTGTGTGTGTGCGTGTATATATATATATATATATATATATATATATATATATATATATATATATATATATATATATATATATACACACACACACACATATATATACATATACACACACACACACACACATATATATGTGTGTGTGTGTATATATATATATATATGTATGTATGTATAAAAATTTAATGCTTATGTTTTTGCAGGAAGTACAACTCTTTGATCCAGGCCCAAGCACGTGAGCTGTCCCATCTGAGGCAGAGGATTAGAGAAGGCCAAGGAGTCTGCCTATATTCTCACCCAACACCTGGGAGACACCACAAAGGTCCCTATATGATCACTTGTATGATGTTAAGAAATTACAATCTCCTAATTTGAATTTTTCCTTTACTAACAGACTTTTGAAGAGCTACTTCGTTCCAATGACATTGATTACTACATGGGTCAAAGTTTCAGAGAACAGCTCGCCCAAAGCACTGCTCTGACACAAAGACTTGTTGCAAAGATTAGCGGAAGTAAGAAAGAGCCTTCTGCAGTTGTCCTGCAGTTCATTTTATACAAGAATTATGTTTATACATTGATACTTTGTTGTGCTTTTAGGAGACTGTACCGAGAGCTGTGATGATAAGACAGCTACACTTCTTGCCTTAAGGTGAGTTTTAACAATTTTTTGGATTTTTTGTTATCACATCAAAAGCAACAGTCTAAAGTAAATACAGTGAAACCATTTGGAAAGTGTACTTTGTGTATTATTTACGGTAATCAGACCAAATATATACATGAATTATATAATCATTAAAGCAGTCCTTGCATTGGAGAAGTGCTTACTTATCATGTGACTGCTGACTGGCTTCCTGCGGTGCCCAGGAGACAGAGGGATTGCTGATAATCCATTCACAGGCCTCAGCTTGAATCCTTTTCTGTTAAGACTCTTGAGGTGAACGGTCTACTGCAGGTGCGCACCAGTTTGGCTTAAGAGGCTCAGGAGTTTGTGTAGGAATAGCCTCTGTCAGCCTGCTAACAAGACAACTATATTCAAATTTTATTAGAATTTGTACCTTTATTTTTGTGGATTTTTTGCTTTGGATTAAACAACACATGGCTCCTTTGTGGAAAATGATGATTTCAAAGAGCAGCCCAATCTACAGAGATTCTTTATGGTCTTTTTCAATAAATTCAAGTAGAGGCCAATTGAGGCAGGCAGCTCTGCTAAGATTTCTGTTGGAGAAAGATCGGGACTTTATGCTTCAAAATCTGAAACAGTAAGACGTGCTGGTTCAAAACTGGTTTCAGTAACTGCTTGCTAATTTTCTATTATTTGTATATAGTGTTATTTCATGCTCATATCTGTATCTTTAGAATTGGAACACATTTCAGTATTAATAAGTACTAAGTAATTATTTGTTTTATACTAAAGCAGCTTTTCCTATATAGGTTAAGTAAGGAGCTTCAGCAGAAAGATAAAATCATTGAGTCACTGCACTCCAAGCTCCAGCAGCGTGCAGATACTCCTTCTAGTTGTCATGCCCTTTCTGAAACCACCGACCAATCCGATCGGACATCACTGGTTTCAGATGAGTTTCAAGGCACTGAAGACTTGGAGATGGGCTCGGAGGCAGACAGGCAAGAATATCCGGAGGACCACAGTCTGCAGCCAGGACGATTCGTATCAGAACAGAGTGGTACAGAATCACATATATTTCTCTGAAATTTTCTTTTCGTTTACTTCACCATTCCCCTTTTGTAGTCTTCCTATCCCCTTATTCACATCGCCCCCTCAAGTCTTCCAGCAGCTGTCCCAACATGCTTTGCTCTGCTCGTTTTGCCAGAGGTATGGTCCGTGCACATGGCTTGACAGCAGTACCAAACGCATTCAACTCTGTATTGTCTGTCTCTCACCATCATTATCATTCTCCTTCAGCCCCATTGCCCCAGCCCTCCTTTCCCTCTCCCTATGGCTCTGATGTTTGGGGTAAGGATCTCTCCCCTGCCCCCCGACCCAGGGCCTTATCTGCCAGTGCTGTTCAGCCTGAGCTGGGCGTACTGTATGAGCAGAGCAGGGGTAAGGGACAAGGAGTGGAGTTGATAAAGTTATATAATTTATTTGATTTCACTTTTGTATGTACAGGTTCATTTTCATCTGGAGACCACAACCATCTAAACGTCCTCAACCACAGCCAGCTATCCCACCATGCCTTTCAACAGTACCAGTTAGGAATCCCGGAAGACTATTCACTAAAGTCGGACTCTGGTTTAGTAACAGCAGGGCCTTTATGGGACATAGAGAGTAAGGCTCCACCAACTCTGAATTACTCTGGATTAACAGAACATCCTAGTAACAGTCTTGCAGGTAACAGCTGTTCTTTATTGTATTGAGATGCTTGCTAACTCCAATTATATTACAGTGCTCTTAAATACCTATTTTTTTCAGGAATGCACCTGATAGAGGAGCACTTACAGGAAGTAAAATGTTTACGACAGCGTTTAGAAGAATCTATTCGAACAAATGAGAGACTGCGTCAGCAACTGGAGGAGAGGCTGGCAAACACTGGGCGTGAAGGAGGTACAGTTGATATATTTACTAGTTCATTATAAAGTATGATTATTAGTAAGTAATGTATACATGTTACTTGGCGTTAGGAGCACCTACAAACATCTACATTCAAGGACTTGACACAGTTACACAACTGTCCAATGAGATTAGAGTCCTTAAAGAGGAGAATTTGGGCCTACAGTCACGTCTTCAGGCAAGCACAGGTAATGCAACTAAAACCAAGGAAAGGTCTCCACATGAAGTGTGTTGAGGAGGTTTCTTTTTAGTTTAATTAGAGGATAAATTTGACATCTTTTTACTTGGTATGTTCTTAGGTGAAGAGGTGTCACAGTTGCGGGATGCAGTATTCACAGCACGTGCTCGCCTTAAACAAGTAGAATTGGAGGCAGAGCAGTGGAAAGAGGAGCTGAGGCGTCTGCAGATTTATAATCAAGAACAGGGACAACAGCTCAGTGCATTAAAACAGGAGCGACAGATGACCCAGGAGCAAACCAACAGGTTTGTCTGTATGAACTAGATAACATATTTACAGAATGGAAATGTTCTTTACCTTAAATTGTCTCTGACTTTGTTCACTATTTTCAGACTTCAGCATGATGTGTCTCTTCTGCAGCAGCAACTGTGTGAAAGCAGGGACCTCATCCACTCACTGCAGGGCGAACTGCAGGTGTATGACCAAGTTTGTGCTAGAACAAGGACAAGCAAAGGTTATTTTTGTTTCTGTTCTGTTGGCTTAAAACAAAAAACATAAATGGCGCCTCCTGGTGGAAATTTGTAAAATTCTGATTGTGTACAGGTTTCTTGTCTGAGCTTCCCATCCTGCCCGTGGAGCTTGCTGAGCTCCTAGGGGAAGTGAGGAGTCTCCGGGCTCAGCTGCAGAACAGCATCCAGGAGAACAGCACCCTCAAACAGTTGGAGCTGCACAAACAACTGGAGCAGAAGCTGGGCTCGCCTCGAACCCTGTGTACCCTCACTGCCAGTCCACAGAGAGAAAACTTCTACAAACGCCAGCTTGTGCATGGTGAGACACAATACCAATGCAAACAGTATAAGACTAACTGTTTGTGGTGCTTCAGAATGTAGTGCACTGCTCTGAGTGTGTATGTGTGCTTCACAGACCCTGCTCCGTCTCCACCGGTCAGGGACATTGGCCTGTTTAACTGTGGCTCCCCCGGTCCGCCTTACTCAGATCTGGATGACTGCCATAGCACTGCGAATGGTGTGACTCTTAATTGCACTGCATGTAGCTTGACTAATACATTGTTAAGTACTCAACAATTAACAAAAATACAATAAATAACTGCTATAAATGTGTCTAACTACCTGTAATTCTTTGACCAGCAGACACATTTGACCCTCATGCTGAACTGGAGGGAGAGGCCCCTGATGGATCCTTTGCAAATCGCAATGGCCGTCATGTCATCGGCCATGTGGATGACTTCAGTGCTCTGCTACAGCAGATTCTGGAGGGCAGCAGTCTTGTCCAACAAATAGACACTATGCTACAAACATACCAGGCCTCATCACTGAAAGAAGATTATACACAGGGCTGTAAAAATGTAAGACACAATACTATTTTCAATGTTATAAAAAAATAAATAAACTAAGTTATGAATAATGTTAAACCATATCCTCTGCAGGTCCTGGATGACACTTGCATTAAAATGTTATTTGCCAACACTAAAACTCTGAGGCAAATCTCTGAGGAGGCCATGTCTCTGCTGAAGATGTTTTGGAGAGCGGCTCTGCCCAGCACTGATGCCTCAATACAGAGCCTTAAGAAGGTCAATTAAATGTAATAGAGTGTTAGCACTGTGTTACAAATGTAGAGTTAACAGCTGTGTCCATGCAGGAGCAGTGCCTTCAGGAGGAGATTCTGACGCTGAAACTGCGTGTTTCGGAGCAAGAAGAGGTGCTTAAAGGAACAATTCAAAGACTGAGAAGCACCAGCCGTACAAAGGAGAACATGGAGCACTTCATCGTCAGTCAGTGTAAGTTCACTCTTACTCATGCAAATATAGATCAATATCTGTATGAAATCATGCAACATGATTTTTTATAGTGTCAAGAACTCGAGATGTGCTGAAGAAAGCCAGGACAAATTTGGAGGTAAATACTAACAGATTTGATGTTCTTTTCATGGTTGTGTAGTTCTGAATGTTTTCTGGTGTAGCTCTGTGAACCCATGTCTGTCCTTCCTCACTATAAATTGTCTTTCTTAAATACCCAGAAGAACGAGTTGAGACTGTCCTCTCTTAGCTCCTCCTCCTCTCCTTACACTGGTAACTGTCTTGCATCTTGTGTCTTGTGAGTGTGGTGATTGTTCCATTGGCTGCTGTTTCTCATTCATAAAGCGTAAAACAATCTGTGTTGTCCTTTCACTTCTTATAAACATTTGCCTTTTCTAACCATGCTGGATTCACTGCTTTACCATGTCACATATTTGTTTTGTTAGCAGGAACTTTCAGCATATATTTTGTAATATCTTAGTTTTGTTACTTACTATACTATAGTAAAAATCTGTTATAAAGTCTACAATAAATCAACAACAATAATGATTTCACTTTGTAACAAATAAATGCCTCCTATGGGAATCAGATAGTGTTGTTTACACTCCCTGTGTTTTAAAGCTGTGTCTCTTTATAACACTGGCCCCTCTTGCTGAGATAAACTGTCCATTCATAGTTTCCATGACTATATATGCTATGTTCTTTTCCCAAGGTGTCAAAATGTAATGAGTTCAGAATAGATTGTATTATGTTCATTCACAATGCAAATTGGTAGTGCTGCTTGTATCCAAAATATCTTTTATTTTTCACTCATCTTTAGTTTTGCATCTTGTAACATTAATACACACCAAACCTTATTTGATCATTTTGCTGCTTAACACTGTACTATAGCGTGTGTAGAATCCCTCAGTCGTCAAGGTAGAATCCATGGTAATGTAGAAATTCACCAGCTTCTAACCAGAACTGAAGAAGCAGCTTGGATGAGCTGCGAAACGTTTTTTACCTAAACAAACGTTTTTCTGTTTGACAAACTGATTTTCTCCTTTGCAATGTACTATAACAATTTAAACCTTCACATTTTTTAATATTTTGACATTTTATATTTTTCAGCTGAAGTGCCAGGAGAGTCTGCCAGAGAATGGTCTTCTGATTACAGTGTCATGACCTCCAGTGGTGCAGCCAATCAACGCTTTGCAACAAGGAAACGTACCAGCCAATGCCTGCTTTAGACCTAAACCAGCCTCAACTCTATCACCTCTAAGCAAAAAACAGCCATGACTTCCTCCCTGGTTTTCCCCTCACCAGCCAATACTTCACAAAAACAGTAAAATAATTTCAGCCTCAAAAGAGCTTCTACCCTCCCTTGGTCCCTTACAGACAATACACCCTATAGTCTGCAAGCCTTACCTTGCTGAGTCAGCCATGTCTTTGAGTGATCAGTGAGCAGTTTGCCTTGCCATGAGTGTTACAAAAGAAAGTTTTTGACATGTGTCTCGATGGTTTCAGAGACGTGCATCCTTCGCAAGGAGCTGGATTAAGTTGCTTCTAAAGTGTTTCTGAGTTCATTGATAAAATATATCTTTCTATGTTTTCTCATCCAAACCATCCAGCATTTACCATCCAAAGTATATAGAGGTATCTATATGAGAGCGAGCCAGCCAGCCTGAAGGGAATATATGTTTGTGCATGTTTACCAGTGGCTTGAGAAAGGAATCCACACACCTCAACAGCAAAAACAATACGATGTGTGTTAAAAATTACCACTCAAAGACAAGAAAAGCTGACAGTCACAGAAAAGCAAGTGGCTTTTCATGATAATGACATTTTTTGCAAATTCAATGCAATGACATCACAATGTATTACTACACAGTGGAGGAATGTATGTCCATGATCACTGCTTATTGGTTATATACTTGAGAAAATGTCCTTATTTGAGGAGAAATATGAAAGATTTGAACCAAAATCAGATGTATTGAGTAGCTAATTATCCAAGTGTGTCTCTGTATTAGCTTGCCATGCACATAACAGAAATTGCATTATATACAATAACTTCAAATGTTAGCTTGAAATCTGGAAAACAAAATTGCAGGCTGAAACTAAGGCATAAAATTTGTATTCTAGGTCCATGAAAGGAGTACTGATATGAGTATGTGCAATAATTATGTTTGAATGATTTATTATGCTGCAACACAATTGTTTATTTTACTAGAGTTTGCCTTTAATTAACTCTAGGTTAGAGTCCATTACTGTTAGACCATACAATACTTTTGCGAGTGCATTTTGTTAATGAAAAACATTTCACAGGGGCTTGCCAGTAGTTGCCAAAGTTTGAGCTTTGAACTTCTTTCTGACATGCCATATCCAAGCGAATGACAAAGCCTATGAATGACCCGAAACGGTAACTGTTAGACATGAGTCGTTAAAAGCCTCCTTTTTGGACCAATGTTGTAAAGAGACATTCAGGACCACAGGGCAAAGTTTTATGGGTAGGTGTTTTGCCAAGTAACTTTTTATTGTGTCATTTCTCTTGGTTCAGATTTTAAGCATTCCTGTGGAAGTGGCAATGTAGATGGGTTCCCAGAAGACACAAGCTTTGGCAGACTACTGGTGGGGTCACTGTTCTGATGTATTAAAGGGAAACCTGTTTTAGTTTTTTCTGATCTCATTTTTGTTGTAACCGTGTGTGTGTGTGCGTGTGCATGTGTGTGTGAATGCATTGTTTTACATTGAGACAACATTTGCTTTTTGGCAAATTTGATATCCTGGGTAGCCGTGCAATAGCTTAATTTGATTTTGAATATAGTTTTATGACTTTGCTACATCTGTGTGATTTATATGCAGTGTGTGGTACACTGATTAAGTGTGTGTTTAAACTATCTTTATGTTACACTGCACAGTATATTATCCACCCTATGAAAGCTCTGATTGATGTTGCTTTGCTTGCCTTTCTGCTTTTAGCGGGAGCTGCTTTACTTGGCTTTGAGGTGAAATTGCCTTGAAATTGTGCTTGTAACTCTAAGAGCTGCCAAGTCAGGTTTTGTTTGCGCTCAAATTCTTACAGGTAATGACTGTTGTCTAGTATTTCAAAGACAGCGTTGGATTTTCTAAATACCAAAATATTGTTAAAGCAAATGAAATAGAAACAAATATGAGGATTTGAGCCCTTTGTTAGAGCGTAAACAAACCCTTTTGATATTTCTAGGGACTTTGTACTGCAGTATACGTACTACTAGTTATGAGTTGCGTTTGTATATACAGCTTCTATGTGATGGAAACTGAGTTTTTGCATTATTAACTAGAATCTGAGGCAGGATTTATCTCTTGCTTCTAATGAACGTGTGTTGTGATGACAACAATTGCTGAAATAAAGAAATATATAAAACATTTAAATCTATACTTGTATACTTATTTTATTTGTATAAATTATATATATATTTGCAGCAGAAAATTAACAAAAACTACTGGAAGAAACAATGTGTACACTTTATTTGCAAACAAGTAAAACCTTGTTCAGCATTTCATAGTGGTTTAGCAAAGCTTTTTAACATTCATAAACACTTGTAAAATTCAAGTTTTGGTTATGGCACGTGTCCACTTGGCCTACTAAATCTAAACTCTTAAAAAATGCGATGAAATATATGGGTACCATTGACTTTAAAATACATCTTAAACAAAATGTGAAAATTTTACTTTGGATATAAATACAGCAGGAGTGAGGACAATAAATGTAACATGACAAATCCACATCTTTACAAATCTCTGCCATGACTATTGACCATAACATACACAAAACATTAAACACACCACATTCACATGTGAATCAAGCAAGTGCAAAAAATCAAGATCATATCGGACACTTGACCACATTATAAAAAAAATACACACCAGTACTGAAGAGTAAATACAATGCACTCAATAAAATGCAGATCCATCTCAAAGGGACAGTCTGAAGTCCATCTATGCTTTAGTTTTCAACTGTTTCAACTGATCAAAGCACATATTTCAGACTCCTGTTACATGAATGTGCATCAAGTGCTACATCAAGTGCTCCAGAAGAAAGACATGAGACTCTACCTGTGTTCCAACTCAAAATGACCATTTGATGCCGAATATTACTTTTTACTATCAATACTTCTAGGATTTTGATGATTGTTTGTTTCAGCAGGCACAAAGTTAAAACTGATTTGTTTGGCAGTTAGCACATGCAGAAAAAGCACTTCACCACAACATATTTTTGAAGGCCAGTTGCTGCAGAACCATATTGTAAAACACATGCAAGTAATTTCCAGACAAAATATCAATCCAAGTACACAGTGTTTTGTAACTGTACACTCTCTCTACTGTATGTAGTATGAACTGTTAAAAAGACACATAATGGTTTTCCCTCCTTCAAATTTGCAACACACTACTACCAGTTTCTGAGCCCTTTTTGATTGCATGGGCAATCTTTTTAAAATGCCACTGCCACATTGTAAACATGTTTTTTCTTTGCAGAATGAGAAGAAAAAACATCTCATCTTTTCTAAATGAGAAAACTACAACAGACAGGGCAGACAGAGAAATTACGTTTGAGGTGATGGTGTTAAATTGGTTTGTAAAGCAAAGATGTAACATATTTCTTCTTGTATCTGTGTGTGGCACTGAGCACCATCACTCCATCCTACAAGGACAGACAATAATATATTTCAATTGTGAGAAAAAAAAAATCAGTTACCATATTGTCAGACATTACCTTTATCGAGAGAGCATATAGATGGTTTAACATGACATGATTGGGTTCAGGCAACAAAGCAGGGTCGCACTGTCAAGAAAAGGAACAGGGAAAAAAAATCTATTTGGTGAATTATTTGAATCTGAATAATTACATAAAATGAAGAGAAACATACAGATACATTGGTATCCTTGTTTAGTATAACTTGTAGGAGATGTGGTGGGAGTATAGGTGGAGATTTAAAATGCTCTTCTGGTCTAAATATGTACTGGTCCTGCCCATAGGGTCCAGGAGGAGAGCTTGATAAATCTAAAAAAAATAAAATAAAAAGATAAAGTCATAGTTCTGCCATGTTTAGTATTTTACAGTTACAGCATTCATTATTTACATGAAAATGAACAATACAATATGTATATATATAAATGTCATCAAGAGCTGACCTGAAGTGTCAGAGCACTCCAGAGAATCCACCTGTAGAGCATCAAACACCTCAAAGTCAGACTTTTTGACCTGAATAAGATTGTTTATAGTTCCCATTTGGCTTGTCACAACAGGCTGCAAGGAAAAAAGAGCAAATACCATCACAAGCTGTCACCGGGCCTTGTGGAGTGTGATTTCTATAAAATCTGAAAATACCAAAAAATAATACCTCTAATGGATCATGGACCCACTGGCCATCAACAAAAAATTTATACTGGTGCTCTCCTTCAGGTAAGTCAAGGATTGCTACAAAGTCATTATGGCTTCAAAAACAGATACCAGGTCAGTGATTCAGTTCAGGAGAAACTAATGTTAAGTAGTGAAAAATCTACCTTTTATTCAGCGGTATCTTTGTACTCCAGTTGTTGAACGAACCAGCAATGTAAACCTCTTTCCCTCCCCCAGCCCAGCGGATGACAGTGGGTCGAGCCTGTGGCCCAGTCTTTACAAGGTCATCCAGATCGGGAGCAAACTCCTTCTCACCCAGAACCTAATGATAAAAATACAGACTTAAAACAGCTACACTTGTAGATCTGTTCTTTGCTTTTAAACTTCTTTTTACTTTGGTCTCTGGACCATGGGTGTTAAAGATGTTGGGGTCATCAGTACTGTCCACCATCTTGTTGCTGGGCTCGTGGTCTTTGTGGCCAGTGCTGTCTGAATGCTGGGCCTTGGCTCCATGGCGATCTCCAGTCACTCTGTCACTGGTGTTGCCCATAGTGCCACACTATTTATAGTGCAGCTGAATAGAAAAGACATGCACAGACTATGGTTAAACAGTAAGCAAAATACAGAACCAGAACGCTATATTAATTTGTACAACTGCAGAATAGTTAAGCATTATAGACAACAAGAGTGACATAAGAAACTGTTTATGTTACACATGACTAGAACAAGAGAACAAGAATATAAAATATTAAAAGAAAAAACAGAATTGATTTATACTATTTATGTCACATGTTTTATTACACACTTCAAAACAAATTCTTTCTTTAGGAACTACTCGAGTAGTCTCGACAAGATAAAAATATAGTAATATTAATGGTAATAAACTCTATGGTGTATCATCGTTATCCTAAACAGATTTTCTTGAATACAACTCCCAGTTAGTAAATTTAAAATGCAAACATTTCAGGGACTACATTAGTTCACTCCTCGGTGCTTTGGCAGAGCTCACGCGCAGGGAGTATTGACAGGGAGTATTTTTAGCTCGCAATAACGCTGAAAAATTAGCTTGCGTTACGATTGTCTATGGTTATAACTTATAGTTAGTGGAGATTTATTGTTAGCTAACGAATAAAGCATAGCCGCATATCTTTGCCATCGCCAGACTTACCAAATCCAGTGGTTTGTATAGTTTTATTTGTTTATAGCCAAAGGTCAACTTCTTTCACGCAAAGACTGTACATGCGCCAACAGCTCAGACTCAGTGTCCACAGTACGGAAAGCCAGAAGATCAAACGGAGCGGCTGCGCGTTATTGCATAATGTGCCCCCTATACAAAATTATGGCCTCAAATAACTAGCATTGGCATAATATAAAGCATAAGATGTATAATACATATAGTATAAATATATTCTTATAAACATATATTCTATGCTAATACTTTTTTAGCACTCACATTAACATAAACTTTATCCAACACACATCATTTTATTTGATTAGATTCACATCAGTCAATGAATGTATGGATCTGATTAAATTATATTAATTACTCAAATTATCTACTTTTTTCAACAATCCGTCATCTATCCACTAGATGGGGATATTTCACAGTGAAAGGGCAAATGCTCAGTCAGCACCATATAGGATTAAAAAACGTTGCATTTATCATCGAGGCACCATCCAGTGTTTCAAAATAACTTACAAATTCACATTACATAATTCCAAGTGTGAAATCTTTTCATGCACGCAAATCAGCTTTTTGTTTTCTGTTTTTGTAAATATTGAAACACACAAATCATATCATAGAAAATCAAAACACATGTTGCTATGCATGTGCATTTACAGTCAGGCATGTCCTGAAATTTTTAGATCATAGCTTAAGAAAAGTATATTTGTGCACTCAGTAGTCAGTAGAGTGTTTTACATGCAGTCCACACAGTGCATAAAATGTTGCTTTGGAATAGCATATTTAGTAGTCAGCAAACTACTAGCAAAATTGTATCAATGAATTTTGAATCTTCATCAATAAATCATGCGTACTATCCACATTGTGTATAAATAAGAGTCATGCAATAAATTACATCTGCTTTCTTCAATTTAGTCAAAAAATGTTGACATACTGACAGAAAAAAAAAAATCATTTGGAAATCCCCAGGCCAGTCTTCATATACTCATAAACCACATAACTTATACTAACAGCAGGTATAACTTTCATAAAGTTTGGTAGAATCCCACGGTAGAGTCCAAAAAAACCATCTTTGGCGACAATTTTCTTCAAAAGTGTATTCATTGATGGCTGGTCTGATGCATTTAGAGATGCTAGAGAAAAGGTAAAAAAGGCACAAGTTGACTTAACTTCAGTGCCCACTATTATTGTATTATACTTTTGTATAATACAAAAGTATATTAGTATATATTAATTAATTATATTAATTAACATATATGATCAAAAGTATTGTATTATACCCACTTTTAGTTGTATTGTTTTTACACAGATCAAGTGTTAGCACACTAAACAAACACTAAAATATCACTTCAATACAAAGGTCATGTGTTTATGTTTTTAAAGTCAGAGCCCTCAGATTGGAAATTGTTATCGTAATCATATTCAGCCCTATTAAGTAAAAACTTTTTTTTTTGAAAAGTTAAAATGATCTTACCTTGTGCCTGCATCCGTGTGCGCACAAGTGCAAGTGGATAGCTAGCCAACTGACCACAGGTACTTGAGATAGTGCCACAACCCAACAACACCAGAACACCAGGATTAGCAGAGTCTTTGTGGTAAGACAACCAAGTATTCTTTAAACTCTGAGGAATAGAAAACATGTTTCAGCTATGAAGCAGATTAGAATCTTTAAAGAAAAAATATATATATTTTAAAAACCTCATAAACAGCCAAATCGATTCCAGCATAAGGGATGATCCCCAGAAGGTTGGGAATATAGCCTTTGTAAAAAGCCTTAATTCCCTCATTTTTCAATATCTTCTTGGCACAATCTATCATTCCTGAGTACTGCCCTGTTTTTCTTAATGTCAGTCGAGTTTTTAGTACCTATTGTGTGCAGACAAAACAACAAATAATAAAACATTCATAATTGTCCTTGTGGAGAAGTAAAGTTTGTTTAAAATGTGTATTGCATAACTGTTGTTAACTTGCCTCCATGGGGTAGATGGCAGTCTGCGCTGTAGCTCCAGCCAGTGATCCAGCCATGAACCTACAGTGTGTCTGTATTTTTTGACCCTCGGTTGTCAATAATTTTTTATACTGCAAAGAGAAATAAACATCTTTGTCCAAAATTGTATTCAGTGACTGAAAGATAATGCTGAATATATGAATAATACATATGGTCTTACTTGTTCATACGCCATAAATTTGATTGCAGTCTCTGGCGCAATCTTTAAAACATTTATTCCATTTCCTCTCCACAATGACATTAGACCACCTTCAGTAATCATTTGCCTTAAACCACCAACCAAGCCAATTTTGTTGGATTTGGAGGCATGAACCTACATTTAAAAGAATTTGCCAATTTAATTTGTATTTAGTACACTTGAATAACATCCAGTAACCTACCTGCATGAAAACTTTTATTCGGTCTAGGGGGGCTGTACCAGTTCGAGAGACAGCTCCCGCAATGGCACCTGCCACCAGCTGCTTCCACCAGCCACCTGAGCTCTTCTCTTCTTCTGTGAACTCATCTGGGATAGCAAGACTTTCTCCGAGGTCCAAAACCTAAAGGGCAATATATATTTTATATTATTGTATGTGACTTTAACCTTTGTGTGTACTCTGTACACCTCTGATTTCCAGTACAGCTCAGGGTTCTGCCACCTGCAGAAGTTCTCTGACTCTGCAGTGATAGGGTGTATCAGAGATGGACAGGAGCTTGAGTACAGGACACTGATTACATATTTTGTGGAGTGGTCCCAGGCAAAACATCTGCTCCTGAATGGTCACAAGACTAAGGAACTGGTGACTAACTTTAGGAGAAAGAGGATACCAGTGGAGCCCATCACAATCCAGTGCCATGACATGGAAATAGTGGACTACTGCAAGTACCTTGGACTCCATGTAAACAGCAGGCTGGACTGGAGGGACATATGTAATGCTGTGTACAAGAAGGGCATGAGTAGACTCTCCTTCCTGAGAAAGCTCAGGTCTTTCAATTTGTGCAGCAAGTTACTGGAGATCTTCCACCAGTGTGTGGTGGCCAGCAACCTGTATTTTGCTGTGGTCTGCTTGGGAAGAGGCACCAGTAAAAGGTACATTGGGGAGATTGACAAACTGATCTGCAAAGCTGGACATGTGATCGGCTGTGAGCTGGAGACATATGGGACAGGAGAACACTGGACAAACTGCTCTCCATCATGGACACTTCTGCTCACCCACTGCACCAAACTATAGAGGGACAGAGGAGCTCATTCTCCATCAGGATCCTACAGCTCCGCTCAAACAGTGAGAGATACAGGACTACATTCATACCATACTCATACAGATACATACTCATAAAGATGTACAACAACTCACCCATGTAACAGATAACCCTGTGTCCTGTCAATCGTATCATCTTTGCACCATTTCCTTATGACCTCTTGTATACAACTGTGATATACTGTATTTATATTATGATATTTGTGTTTTACTTACTGTACATACATTTATACATTATATGATTTATGTCTTACTGAGACCAATCTCTTGCAATTTTTTTATTTCTACTTTTATTATTAAAATTTGTATAATTTCCAATTTATTGTAATATAATGTGATGTGTGAGCTACTGTGTCCAAGCAATTTCTCTTGTGGATCAATAAAGTCTAAGTCTAAGTCAAAGTGTGTTATGCATATATGCTGTAGTTTCAGTGTAATGTCCTTTGGGGAACTGCTGTAAAAGTAGCTATGGCAGATGTTACTCAAACCATTAAATGCATACTACAGTTGTAGTAATTGTTTGCAAGCTGAAGCTTATGACCTAATTATCAAAGTGCAGAAAGATTCCTGTATGCAAATTAAGGACAATCAGGCAAATTAACAAAGCTGAACACAAGACAGCTCTCCCTCACTCCTTCTGCTGTTACCATCACTATGTCATGAGCAGTGAGCAGCTTACATACAGAGGAGTGTTTCCAATAGCGAATAATATCTTCCAGGTTGTGGGCAGGACAAAACAGGAAGTGCTCCCTCCACTCATTCCAGTCCACCATCATGGTGCCATCAATGTCCATGCTAAGGAGACAAAAAAAAATAGATTATTCAATTTAACACACTAATACTAATTTTTAGGTGAGCGAGTTTGTCGTTTCAACCTTTGAAGGATTTTCATGGCATCCTCTTTACTGACATGAATGCCCAGCTCTGCAAGGGCCAGTTGGATCTCTGAAGCATCAATGCGTCCTGGCAAAGTATAAGCAAAGGTCCTTTAGTAGATGTTTTTGACATTTTCAGAATTATTATTCTGAACTGTAGTGAAAGGAAAACCATACCGTCATTGTTTTTGTCCAAACTCTTGAAAGTGAGCAACAGCTTCTTCTCATGCTCTTTCAGATATTTAGAGAACTCACTGAAGTCGAGACTCCCATCTTTGTTTTGGTCACCTGATGAGACAATTTTCTGCAGAGAAGGGAAACACCCGGTTCAAAAAATTCAAGTAAGGTTATGCTACAACACATTTTTAAGGAAATTCCTATTAGCCCATGGCGTGAAACTCAGAAACTATAGACAACCCTCCCTCTAGTTACCTGCGCTGCTCCGTGGCGGAAAATGCCCATCGCTTTGAGTCCTTCGCGTAATTCGGCGACATCCACTTTGCCATCTTTATTAGTATCAAGTCTCTCAAACAGATCCTGGTATGACCTCTTACTGCCGGCATCCAGGCAGCGGGCAGTCGGTAGTAAAAACGTCCGAAACATGATACAGCTTTGCAAAACAAGCGAGCTCACATAAATCCCAGATTTTACAAGATTATACACACATCATGGATAGCACCCGCAAACCATTTTGGCAGTCGATGTTTCATGCAAATTTCATGCGAAAACGCGCAATATAGACATATTTCTGCGTGTCCCGTGCACAGGCGTGATCCGACAGGAGTAGGGAACTGCAGAGATGATGGGCGGGGCTAAATTGCCTACGTGTACATAGCCTATAGTTTTTTTGTTTTGTTTTGTTTTTATTTAAATTTAGCAATTTATAGCCTACACTAAATGTTTTTAAGAAAGAAATAATAAGATTTATTTTTAAGAAATGTGCCAATAGCGTGTGGTGGTGTAACGTATCCTATGATGTTACCAGAGAAAAATCTCATCATCAAGGAAGCGTCAGCAGGCTACAAAGATTAGATTAGAAACACAAGGCAATGTTTCTAAGGAAATGCCACAAATGACCACTAGAGAGAGACATTTTAAACATTGTTCAGAAACAGCGGCTTACGCAGAGACAGGACCTAACGTGACAATCTGTACACAGCGGGAAAGCATTGAAAAAGAATTCCGGGCTCACAAGTCCAATATTTGGACGTTATTTATTTATTTGCTATTGGCCAAAGAGGGACATGTGTTTAATTGTGTGTGTCCAGTCAATGCTTCCCCAAAGGACCGTTACAGTACAGTAGTGATAGACTTGGCCGACTGGGCGGGTAAAAAAAAGTTTGAAGTTGAGTAAGTACGACACACGAGTGACACAGCTGAGGCGAGAGAGAGAGAGAGCGGGCAGAGCTCAGTCACGTCTCCACGGTCGAGGAACTATGTCTTTTATTCTCCTAAAGAAGAAGAGATTTAAATTTAAAGTTGACTTTGACCTGGAAGAATTATCCTCTGTCCCCTTTGTAAATGGGGTAATATTTTGTAAAGTTAGGCTACTGGAGGGAGGGTTTTCCGAAGAGTCTTCCCGGTATGTTTTTCTATTTATCATTTGTCACTGCGGGAAAATGACTATTTGATCAATTCATGTGACTTTACAATCGACGCCCCTGACCTCACTATTTGTCAGACCAGTGGTAGCAGTCTATGAATTGTAATCAATAGCCATATATTTGGTTATGTTATAACCTGTCTGTTTTGCGTACATTTTATTGGGCAAGGGTGATCTTTTGCAGTTATTGTAGGCATCCTGCTTTTTGGTTGAAATAAACATAGTTTGAGAGACAGGCACCTAATGAATCTTAACAATGTGAGGATTTCGGCGCTTTATAAGCCTCAATTCAAACATTTATATTATTGTTAATAATTGGCTTAGAGCTTATAATTAACGCTGCACTTGGGTGATCCACTTGGAAAAAGGTCGTTGGGAAAACACGTGCGAGCCAAACTCAACTGCTATGGCAACAGTGCGTGTGTAAACATGGCTCTTTCTTACGATCCTCCCCCTTTACTTGTTACAGCGTCAGTCATTGAGTTTAATATGTATGCTGTAATGCTTTATTATGGCAGAGATCACACATTCACGCGTTTTTAATTAACACTAATTTCATGATTTCTTAGGGAGACTGTTCAAGCAAACTGTGTTCGCTGGGGTACGAGATTCTCCTTTGTTTGTAAGATGAGCGCCAATGCAATAACTGGTATACTGGACCCTTGTTTTTGTCGGGTATCTGTGCGCAAGGTACAAACATTTTATGTCTTTATAATAAAAACTTACCAACAAATAATCAAAAGTAAAGGTGATATTTTTTGAAAATGTTACTGTAGTAATAAGAAAATGTGACAAAAGTATCTGTATTTTTAGGAAGTGAAAGGGGGGAAAAGTTTCACAAAGGTAAACACATTACATTTGTAGTTCGTAGTTTATTTATTTGCACATTTTATTTAACATTTCCCGGACATAATTTATCTTTCAATGCTTTTCTCTGTTATTTGTTTTAATTTTAATTTCCAGCTTCTGTTAATGTTTGAAAAATTGATAAAGAATAACTTATGTTACAGATGTTTTGCTTTTTCAGGACCTTATGTGTAACTCAGAACATTCATTTTATTCATGATTATTCATATATTTTTTTAACATCTTATGTTTGTTTCATTATGTATCATTTACAGCTTGGCTTTGCTGACTTGAATTTGTCTGAGTTTGCTGGCTCTGGTAGTTGTATACGACGATGTCTTCTTGAAGGCTATGATACAAAGCATACCAGACAGGACAATTCAATACTAAAGGTATACTATTGTATTATTAAAGGAAAGCAAAAGATTAAACTATACTCTCATGTATTGATTGGTGGATATGTTGGGAAGATAATTGCACACATAATTGCACGCGTCATAATCACTGGCTAATGCCCTTAAAGCTTCAACATAGGTCAAAATTTTGTTTGGGCCTAAAGGGAAAAAAAAAAAAAAAATCTTATCTTTACACTTGAGTGTGTAGAGGACACTGCTGTGCATTGGCTATTTTCTCAAGCCAAAGGTGAGAGAACAAATAGTAGGTTTTGGGCTGGTCATTATTATGTTGAAAGGTAAAGGAACACGTATGTAATGAAGTAATCATTAAATAATCATTGGTTATTTGGGCATCCATTTGAAAATTTGTGAAATTTGGTTAAATAGGTTCAAATTCAGAAGTAGGAAACTATATATTTTGTTCCCCTTAAGGACTGGGGCTATAGATGTCTAAAAGATCATTGCAAGCAAAAAGTATAAAGATAAGGTTCCTACATGGATCACGTCACACACATTCATTGAATTTATAGTTTCATATCAATATCAGCCCTTTAATATTGATCTCAAAATATTGGAAAATCTATCAACCATCGATTGGTTGCCAAAAAATCAGTATCACTTTCTACCATGCAAACACCCATATCGATCAATCTAGATTATGTTCATAACCATTTAGTCCAACTTATTTGCCATTAATGAACAAGAATAATATGTAATGAGAAACATGACTGTTCATATTATGTCCAAACACTAAAATGCAATTTGGTTCCTGTCATTGCAGGTTGTAATCAATACACAGCTCATATCTGGAGATCCTTGTTTTAAAGCGTAAGCGCCTGCAACCATCATCAATATATAAATGTATTTACTGCATAGGAATATGTAATAACAAATAACAGGTGTGACAAAGCCTAAATGTTTTAGGAAAAGTACATATTTAATTGCAATTTACATTATATGTCTATGAGCTAGTTTAAATATCCAATGGAAGATTAACTGTAAAAGAACAGTGAAATTTTAACTGCTAAACTAACACAAGGAGTCATATATATGTAGAAGTCTCAACATACATATTCAGTGTGTGTTTTTAAGTAAATGTAAATAAGGCCATTGTTTTTTCATGTTTCCTATAGTCCTCCATCTACAGCTATGACACTAAGGATTCCACAGACTGAAGCAGGGTGCCTACTTGAGGACAGACATGGTGGAGACCAGCAAACATCACTGTCTTTAAGAGGTAAACACATTCAATAGAAAAAACAAACAAAAAACGTTTATAATCATTGTTTTTCAAACTATAGGAAGTCCTGTGAAATCAGTTTCTGTCCCAGAAGGACTTTTAGCTTATGGTCACTCCAGAACCCCAAGCCATGCAAGTCAGCATTCAAAAATGTCAGGTATATGATAAAAAGACATTTTGCTTAGATAGTGAAGTTTATTTTAATATGTTTAGTAGCTACTTACTAACTTTTCCATATAGGCTGCAGTTCAAATCATTCCAGTTTAATAGAACTTAATCACAAGAGAGATCCCTCTGGTGATTCAGCCTCTACAGGCATTGGGAGCATCCATGAAATCAGTGAGCAGCATTTTCACAAAGGTGACTGGGAGAGACCTCCCCTCCCTGTAGTCATTACCAGCTTTAAAGATCATGAACATCTCTCATCTCCTCAAAAAATCTCAAGGTAACAATCAATTTGTTCATGGAACTGAATAAAACGTCTGCCAGTATGCTAATACAATTTCTCTTTAGGCAACCTTTAAAACAAAACTCAGTTGAGAACCAGTTGAAGCGAGTTGACGCCACAAGAGTGAATGCAGATGACGTAATAGAGACAATCTTGCAGAGCCAGGATTTTAGTCATGACTTGTTGGACTCCAGTACAGAAGGTGTGTAAACTGCATACATTACTGTATGAGGCTATATGAAGTAAGGAACAGACCTAACAATAGAGTATTTACTGACACATTTATCTATGGTCGTCCACTTAACCTTTGCTTTGTTTCTGTAGAAGAAGGTTTAAGTCTGTTTGTTGGACCTGGTGGCAGCACTGCCTTGGGAAGCCAATATACCAGGTGGGTGTATTAACTTATTTGTCAATGTCACATTAAACTACAGCCATGTGACTCACTCCCATGTTGTCATTATTTCAGGGTTGGAGTTGGGACCTTTGAACAGGTTGTGATCCAGCACTAGAGACTGCCCTTGGTACCACATGGAACAATGAGATTTGCGCTCTTATTTTGGAACCACAAGAGTCCCCTGGTGTGCAATCTAAGGTGTTGCAATAATCATTTAGTACACTACACTCATTGACTGTATACCTACACTACACCTTATCTGGTTATGTCGAATTTCTTTTTTATACATGAACTGTTTTAATTTTTGTATGTTATTAAAATAATTTCTGCTGTGCAATTCATACATGTTAAATTTAGAAAACGCCCAACTGATATGTAAAACATTTATACAGTCAGCGGTCTTATGCTAACTACTTCTGGATTCAGATCATAGACTTATATGATTCAGGTGGACGTCTGCTATTTTATTTTATTTTATTTTTAATAAAATGACGTAGAAGGTGCCACTTCCGGCTGTACTTCCTGTTTTACTGAGAACACAAGCTGTAACGACGGCGGGAAGTTTTCATCGTTAACATTAAAAAAGCTGGACAAACTGCAACACATCTAATGGGATTTCGATAATAATATCACCCTTGAAATCAATGGAAGTGTAATTGTTAAGTCTCCGGCTGCGAACTAAGGTGCTTTCGGCGCGGGACCGTTCGTGGGACTCAAGAGTCATGGCTAACCAGGCCGTGAGCAAAACTGCACCAGGAAAACATGGAAATGTATTGCCCTTGTGGGGTAACGAAAAGACTATGAACCTAAACCCTATGATTCTTACCAATGTGCTGTCTTCGCCCTATTTCAAAGTCCAACTTTATGAACTGAAGACATACCATGAAGTTGTGGATGAAATTTATTTCAAGGTAGCTAACAAGCTGTTGCTAACCCGCATGCTATGGTACATCCGTGATTAGGTAACGTCATTTGTGGCTTCCCGCTTCAGTATATGGCTGTATCTGAAAGTACATTCGGCATTATTCAAGACTAATTTAAATATAAAACTGGGAAATCTACAATGTGTCTTATTGAATGGGACTTGTACTTGGCATGGAAGCATAATTATCTGCTGTTAGCCATTAAGCTAAAACAATGCAAGTGAAGGCTAACTGGTGAGTAATGTACCAGGAGTCTCCAATCGTATTTCCGTTTAGACTCTTTGACGTCGCATGACTATGAAGATAACTCTGAGCCTTGGGGACTACATCGGTCAGCAGCAAGCAGTTTTGCGTTAATATTACCCATATTCAATTCAATCTTTATTAAGAACACATATCTGGGTCATAATAAGTATTTAAAAAAAATATAATGATAACATTTGGCATATATAACACGTTGTCTTACATTTCCCTGTATTTGCAACTCAGTTATTTTCAATTCTTTAGTAACAGTTGCCCATAAATTTGAGAGCCAGTATTTGACAACTTGTCTGCACCTCCTATATTTAAGTTAACTTTATTGAGTTTTACATTACCATTAATATTTTTTTGTCTATGTACATATAGGTAACTCATGTTGAACCTTGGGAAAAGGGAAGCAGAAAGACTGCAGGCCAAACTGGAATGTGCGGAGGGGTAAGTACGAAGTACGTCCTCTTGTAATACCTTCATAGTCATCCCATTATTGTTATGTATTGGACAAGCAGTTATTTATTGGACTGTTAAAATGTTCAGATTTCTGTGATTCCAGGTACGTGGAGTTGGAACTGGAGGGATTGTGTCAACAGCTTTCTGCCTTTTATATAAACTATTTACCCTCAAACTCACTCGGAAACAGCTGATGGGTCTCATCACCCACACAGACTCCCCTTACATCAGAGCACTTGGCTTCATGTACATTCGGTATGATTTCTTTATTATGATGTTCATGTTGTTCAACACAAACATGTTAAATATGAAACACTTTTTGGACAGGTATACTCAGCCCCCAGCTGATTTGATTGAGTGGTATGATGGCTTCTTGGATGATGAGGAGGTATGTCTGCTCGGGTAATAATTCCTTTTTATTCTCTTCCTATATTATTTAGAGAACCGCTGGCCATTTAAGCATATACCCCTTGTGATGCTCATGGCTGATTTTTCACCTTTGCCTTCATTTGGCTTAATTGTCCCAAAGGTTTCCTTAAATTTAAGCAGTTCAGTTACTTTTCGCTGTGCCTCTGCTCTTTTTAAGGGTAAGTACAATGATGAGCTGTAGTTTAGTGTGATTACAAGCATGCTATTTTTTCTTATTTACTGAATTTTAAGGACTTGTTGCACACATCAGATTTTCCAACTAATCTAATTTTCTAATGAAAACATGAAGTCTGTCTGACAAAGCTGTTGTGTGTATGAATCTGTCAATTTTTCAATCAAATTGGTATTATTGGGCTGTGCAACCAGGCCTCTTTAATGTTTGTTCCTTTATTTTAGACAATTGATTGATATTCTACCCACATGGTTAATTCCCGTGTTTTTTTCCTTAGATGTCCATTGTGCAGCAGGTGAATTGGATATTGTATCTCAGCACTGTTGGTTTGTGTGTGTGAGTGCAAGATGCTGTTCTATTTTATTTATAAATATAATTCCTTGTTTGCACTTGTGCAAATGCGTATCTGCATACACAGGGCATTTTTATAATTAGCATATTATTTTTTTCTTGTCCAATTTAAAAAAAAAAACAAAAACATTGGATTGGCTCCCTTGGCACAGACATTATGGACATTTACTAAAATAATCAACAGTGATGTCCTTTTGAAGCTTGAGTCCACAACTTGCAAATTATAGTACAGTTCATATTTTAGTGTTTTATGTTTAATGTGTAATTTATGATATTAAGCTACATGAACAGAGGTGAAGGTTCAGTACGTGGGACATCACAAATTGTATAAATTTGCTCAAACACATGTTCAGGTATTTTTCATTAAGTAACTAGTTTTTCTATATTTAACTTCAGGAACTTGATGTGAAGGCAGGAGGTGGCTGTGTCATGACCATTGGGGAGATGCTCCGCTCCTTCTTGACCAAATTGGAGTGGTTTTCAACTTTGTTCCCACGTATCCCTGTGCCTGTGCAGAAGGCAATTGACCAGCAAATGAAAAGTAGGCCTCGTAAGGTTACTCCGAAGGAGGTCACAGAGGAGGAAGCTACTGAAGCAGAACCTGGAAGACCGGGGGAACGCCATCGTTCTAGGTAAGTTACGTAGATGTACTAACTTGTATGCATTTTGTCTACTAGCTACACATTCTTGTCACACTATGTGAACTGTCCTGAGTCTGGTACAGTTCAGATTATGTATTGGTTTATGCTGGAGTTAGTTTTACTTAAAAGGCTTCCAATGAAAAGTTTAAAAATGTATTTATCAAATTATGACTTTGTCCACCTATTCAATAAAAAAAATTGTAAATTCCAATGTGGTACAATTGCAATTTTCCATAATTTTAGTTGATCAAATAATGAACAATAAAATATAAAAATTGTTTGTTATCCTTTTGTCAGATCCTCCCGTCGATCACAGAGTCCAAGAAGATCACCTAAGCGCTCAAGGAGCAGGAGCCATCATCGAGACAGAGATCGTCGTGGCCCAAGCTTTGACCGTGAGTTAGAACGAGAGCGGGATCGCCAAAGGAAGGAGCGGGACAGGGACAGAGGAGAGCGAGACAGGCGGCGCTCACGAAGCCCAGACAAACCCCAAGAGCGGCGCGAGCGCAGAAAAAGTCGTAGCAGCAGCCGGGACAGGCGCATTGAGAGAAGAGACAAAGAGAGGGATGGCGGGGATGACAGGAGTAGACGGAAAGACAGGGATTACCACAAAGACAGGGGCTCAGAGAGAGAGCGGTCCCGGGACAGGAAAAACAGGGAGGACAAGGAAGACAGGAGACATAAAGATGATAGGGAGCGCCATAGAGACGAAAGGAAGGGCAGGAGATCCACCAGAAGTCGGAGCAGGGAAAAGAAACACAAAAGTGCTGATGAAAAAAGTCGCAAACGTGAACGGAGCCACAGCCGAGAGAGAGAACGAGACAGGGACAGAGACGGAGAGTCACGGTCTCACAAACGCAGCCGCAGCAAAGAAAGGTCCCATCACCAGCGCGAGTCTAGCAATGACTACAATAAACACAGTGAACGCAGAAGGAGTCAGAGCATAGATTGAACTGTTTCTGAACAACATTTGTGTTTGTTTTTGCTCTATTCTATCAGCCATTGTAATTTTAGCTCACCAGACATCTGGAAATGTCTTGATCTAGTATATTGTTGCCTTTTTATTTTGTCCTTTCATCCTTCTACAAATTAATTTTGTTTTGAAAAGTGGAAATTTCCTTTTTTAGATTTTATTGTTATTCTTACAGAAAGACATTAGTTTGTTGTACATAATATTTGAGGGCTGTTTACACAAGCATGGTCTGAGTTGTATTTCCTGCTGTAATTTTGTATTTATGAAGCTCTTTGCTGTTAAAAATCCCCACACTAAGTTGCAATGCAAGTTGTTTAAATTTAAAAGACATTTGTGTGCTGTTTTTTAACCTTTGTTTTAATTTGGCATGATCTGAGTGAACATTGTAGCATAGCCAATATTTATAATGCACCACAATTCAGTCCATTGCTGTGTGTTGACAGCCTGAGAATGTTTTTTCAAAAGACAAACTGCAATGGTTAGGTTCTACACAAAACACAAAATTCGCTTTGTGGTGTGTTTGCCCATTTTGTTTTTCTAATAAAAACAGCTGACAAAAAAAGGAACTTGTGACATTATTTTCTGTCATGAATTTGGGGATTTTTCCTATAACATTTGATGTGTACACGCTCTGGATACTTAGTAAATTGTAAGAAATTCTCTTTCTGGTTTTATAAAAGTTAAAGTACATAAATTAAAGATGAGTGCAACATTCTTTAATTTTATAGTTTAATTAAATTGGTATTTTCCATATTCAATGCAAGATTACAAAACAACATACACGTTTACTGATATATTGCCATGTTTATATATTATCTCTAAGTTTAAACAAAGTTTACAAATATGAAAAACAACATATCTACTGAAACCCCAGACAAGCTCTCTATCGTACAGTCTTAATTTAATCAATAACGATTAGGTAACTGATTAGACTACATAGATTTTTACATGCACTACAGACATTTGCACAGCTTGAATTTTGTCAAGTGTAATGTTAAAAAAAATCTAACTGATAAGAGCAACTGGTGAGAACACATTTCTACCATTTTGTAGGCCTAAAACACTGAGAAATCATCACATTCTAGTTTGGAGTTCTGGTACAGTAAAAAAACTCTGGACTCAAATCCAAGAGGAAAACGGTTTCTCTCCAGAGCAATCATTTCCAATCATTTTTTCAGAATCATCTCAGCTCTTCCAGGAAACAACAAACGCAGAGGGTGCGGTTTAATGATCAGCCATCTTGAATTCTGTGGGATAGAGACAGTTAGCTAACTTAACTAACTTAATCATAACTCAAGTCAATAACTGGAAAGCAAAATAATTGTATTGTACCATTCCAGCCGATGTCTGTGAGATCTCTGCGCCTGCGGGTGTCCTTATTTGCTGAAAGAGAACAGTACAGTGTCATTAAGTGCACATACATATCAGTCACTTAAAGTTTTTCCCTCATATCTGGCTGTGACCAACAGGCAAGTAGGAATATGGTTTGTTACAGTGGGTGAAATACTGATTGATTAAACTATCTGATGGGCAGTAGGCTCCATTCACACTACATTTACATTTGAGTTGTTAGCAGAGGGCCCAGATGTTGGAAGACATGGAGCTAAATGAAGAGATTAATAGTTTTGTTAAAGCATGAGAATTTAAAAAAAAAAAAGAAAAAAAAAGTACATTCAAAATAGTTTTATTAGGGAAAAAAGTCAATAATTCCAACATTTATACAATTAGATTGCTTTCATATTTCAACATTTTAGCCAAATAGAACAAATGCAAGAAACACCTATACTTAATCAAAGTAAGGAGCATCAACAAGAGATTTCCTTATGGATTATGGTTATTCTAGCACAGAAACCAAACTTGTCTTCACTTGTCGCCTTGAAAAACAAGTTGTTTTAGCATTCTCATATCCAGTGTTCTCATCCCATAATCCAACATCTTGAAAACTGTTGAGGAAAAAAAATATTTACAATTGATTCATCTCACTTTAATGGCTCTTTTGTCTGTATTTTAATTGCAAATATAAAAATGTAAACACTACGTCCTGGTCTAGTCCCTATGTTAATTTAAATGTTATAATACAGTAAAACAAAAATGAAAAACTCACCACTGAGCTTAGTTCAGCCAATTGTCAGCCTTGTAGACAGCAGATAAACACAACCTCCTTCAAAAATTGGAAAACATACAGGCTGATCATACCCAATATGGCTGTTGCATATGTAGAAGGGTCATCATAAATTCCAGTTAGAATTATATGATTGTATCATTGCATTAGCTGGACTGCTTTTTGAGTTCAGCAAAACTGGGTTTCAGAGGTTTGTGAAATTGTTAATGTGATGTTTGTATTTTGTTTAAAGTGTGCTGTAGTGTAGTGTGAATATAGATTAGAAAAACTGATGAAATACATAGAAAGACTGGGGGAACCATTGTTTTTCTTCTACGTTTCCATACCATGCCTAGTTACTGTTGCTAATTGTTTAATCACTCTGTTGGGCAGCTCTCTCTTTGATGTGCGTTACTAAAAGTAAATATTTTTGTTATTAAATTGTTACTAACTTACAGATCATCATATATTACAGATATTTGTTTAACTTTATGCCACTTTCTGCTGTTTGGACTGCTCAACTACCTAAATTAGTTGTTTTATTTTGCCAATAGGAATATAACCTGAAGTCTCTGAAACCTATAAAGAGAAATGTTTTGCACTGTGCTCCAAGCAACCGTTATTCTTACTAAGTTAATGTAGACATCACTACACATATGAATTTTTTTTACATATGTAACTGTGATGTGTTTTCAAAGTAAAAGTGTTCTCATGTTACAAAAGATGCCTTAGGATTTGATCACTTTTTGAGAGTTCTAGTGTTAAGGTTCAGTCATACTCTTAGTAAGAATGGAAGTTACAATTAATCTGCATTAAAAAAAAAACTAAAAAAAAACTTTGTTCACACCAACCCTACTAGGCAATAGGCTTGTTTAAAATGACAAGTCGTGGACAAAATTGTTGGTACCCCTCTGGTAATGAAAGAAAAATCAACAGTTTTCACTGAAATAACTTGAAACTAAGAAAAGCAATAATAAATAAAAAATTTCTGAAAAATAGCCAATGAAAATCAGACACTGTTTTTGATTTGTTTTTCAACAGAATTATTAAAAAAATAATAATAATAATAATGATACTGGCTTGGACAAAAATGATGGTACTCCTAGAAAAGATTGTGAGTAATTGGACAATAGGGACATGTTAAACTGAGGTGTGTCCTCTAATCTGCATCACAGGTGTCTTCAAACTTGTCCTCAGTCAGTCTGCCTGTTTAAAGGGTGACATGTTGTCATTGTGCTGTTTGAAGACATAATGGAGACAACACTGAAAATGGACCAGAGAAAGTGAAGAAGAGAACTGTGTCAGGAGACTAGAAAGAAGATGATAGACAAGAAGATTAAAGATAAAGACAGTAAGACCATCTCCAAGCAGTTTGATGTTCCTGTGATTACAGTTGCACATGCTATTCAGAAGTTTAAGGTCCACAGGACTGTAGCCAACCTCCCTGGACATGGCCGCAAGAGGAAAATTGATGACAAATTAAAGAGATGGATCATACAAATGGTAACCAAAGAGCTCAGAACAACCTCCAAACAAATTAAATGTGAACTTGGAGGGCAAGGTACATCAGTGTCAGACTGCACCATCTGTCACTGTTTGAGCCAAAGTGGGCTTCATGTGAGGACACCACTGCTGAGACCAAATCATAAAAAAGTGAGACTGGAATTTGTCACAATGCATATTAACAAGACACAAAGCTTCTGGGAAAATGTCCTTTGAACAGATGAGACAAAACTGGAGCTCTTTGGCAAGACACATCAGCTCTATGTTCACAGATGCAAAAATGAAGCAGACCAAGAAAAGAACACTGTCCCTACTGTGAAGCATGGAGGAGGCTTTGTTAGGTTCTGGAGCTGTTTAGCTGCATCTGGCACAGGGTGTCTTTAATCATTGTATTTTGGAATGAAATGTGTTGCCTAGTGTCAGAAAGCTTGGTCTCAGTCATAGGTCATGGGACTTCCAACAGGAAAATGACCCAAAACACACAGCTAAAAACACACAAGAACAGGCTAAGAACAAAAACATTGGACTGTTCTGAAGTGGTCTTCTGTGAGCCCAGATCTCAATCCTATTGAACATCTGTGAAAGGAGCTGAAAGATGCTGTCTGGAGAAGGCACCCTTCAAACTTGAGACAACTAGAGCAGTTTGCTGACGTGGAGTGGGTCAAAATACCAGTTGATCAGTGCAGAAGTCTCATTGACAGTTACAGAAATTGTTTGTTTGCAGAGTTTGCCTCAAAAGGTTGTGCAATAAAATAGTAAGTTAAGGGTACAATCATTTTTGTCCAAGCCAGTTTCATTATTTTGTTTTTTCAAATAATTCTTTTTAACCACAGGTGAAAAACAATGTTTGATTTTCATTGGGCAATTTTCAGTAAATTTTTATTTATTATTGCTTTTATCAGTTTCAAGTTATTTCAGTGATGACTGTCGATTTTTCTTTCATTGCCAGAGGGGTACCAACAATTTTGTACATAGCTGTATGTTGATTTCTAAGTCATGTAGCCAAACCAGTAAACATGAAAACACTTTAAGTTAGTATAATTTAGTATTTAGTCAATCACAATAACACAGTAACATCAATAACAAAACATGAGGGATTAGATAGTGGATGCCTGCCTTTATAAGTCTTATTTGTATGCTATATTTTCCTCTAAGTGAATTGTTTATCGACCCTGAGCATGACTTGGCACAAAAAAAATAAAAATAAATAATAATAATAAGTTTACCTGTACTTCCACTGATGCTGGATGGACGACTGTTACCAGCACTGTTCCTGGCCTCCACTGAAGCAGTAAAATTTGAACTGCAGGGTAGAGGCAGCTCAAAGAAGGTTCTTGTGGTCGAAGATGAGACATCAATTCTGAGATCATTGTCTCCCATCAAGTTTCCATTTAGCCTCACAAGGTAATCTGTGCTATTGCATTTACTTTCAGACCAGCTCAAAGACAGAACTTGACGGTCACCCTGCACTGGCAATAATTGTACAGCAAGGTTTTCTGGAGGACAGGGAACTGTGGAGAAAACAGGAAATCTTTTGTAAATCTGTAAATATACCATATTTACAAAGCTAACTAGGTATCTTGATGAGTATTTTTTTATTTGATGAAAACAGTAAAAATCTGACAATTTGGCAATATATTTTTCTATGACTATGGTAAAATTATCCAGATAAAATGGGAAAGGAGAAATTCAATTTGTCAATTGGACAAAAGTTTTTTGATCGAAGATGTTTCGCTCCTCATCCAAGCTGCTTCTTCAGTTCTGGTCAGATTGCTGATGGACACTGCTTTCTATATGCCTGAAGGGAGGGACTAACTACACTACTCTGAACCTAATGCACCTACTTGTTTAAAGTTTCTGTTAGTTAGCTAGGCCTATTGAAGTCACTGTGCCTGAGTCAAATTAGCATAATTTGCCTGATGGGTGCTTTCACACCTCTGAGTCCAACCCACCTCTAAGACT